GACGTGATTAACATTCAAGAAAATCCTCGAGAAGGATTTTCTACGCTGAAAGATGCACTAGAGATTATTAGCTTGTTTATCTTGCTAGCACTGGTGGCTGCTTTCACTTATGTACTAATTCGTTCATTTATTTTTCCTCAGAAACCAAGGGATGGAGAATATGCACTTCTGTATTAAGGGTCTTGTTGTTTGAGTTTTATTTGTCCCTTGGTTTCTTCTTATAATTCCTTATGCGTTGACGGTTCTAAGTCTTATATTATTTTCGAAGTTGTAACATAATCAATAAGTTAATCTTTTGGAATAGTCTACTATTGCACCGGAAGTTATGCGTTCAAATTTTCCCCCAATATCGCCTCCGTCATTCTTCACCCAATATCGCTTGTATCATTTGTAATTTTTTCAGTCGTTTTGCATTAGGTCAAAAATTCACTGTTCTCTTGGGTTACAACAAAATTTGAAGCTTTTATCCTCCTCAATCCATTGTTGTTTCGAATCTTATTTTGTGATAACCTACGAACATATGAAATGCTTCAGATCATGGGTATAAATTATAACATGGACTCTGAAAGCTTGGAACATTTTTCTACGTATATCTTCTTTTTCGAATGCATAGCTCTACCATATCTCCTGTCCAAATGCCAATAATTTATTTTTTGGCCTTCAGCCTCGACCTGCAAACCAGAGGATGAATTATTTATAGGGCATGTATTCTCTTTCTATGATGTATTCGTGTGTATCGTACAAATTTTAAATTTATATCAATCGATCTTCGAGAACTCTTTCATTTATGTCCAGTAATCGTAAGTTTCATTAGTAAGAAGTATTGAAAAACGAAAAGATCAGGAGTTACAATTAGAACCCATTCTTCACCTATAGATTTGTAGCAGTCTTGCCCAAATGTGAAGCTGCATCTCTATCCATTGGCTAAAACAAATCCGATTTCGAATGCCTAGAGTAAGAAACAAGCAGAGCATGGGCATCCAAGACACATATCTTGGCTATCCAAGTCAGAATTATACAGTTCATGTACTCAGCCAAGGTACTACAACTCAGCAAAAAGAAACTGGTTTAGAGCAATAGCTGGTGACTCATTCTGAAAGTAGATTATCTAGTTCTTGTCTTGACAAACTGGCCTCTTGAAGCTTTCTTCTCCATCTTTTCCCTCTTCTTCCGAGTCTTTTCATCCTCGACACCTCCCTAATTCACACATAAATGATACCAAATTACACACAATTTCAAATATAATATTGTGTCATGCAAATACACAAGCAAGAGAGAGTACCTCTGAGCCTTGGGACATAAATCCTTTAATGAAACCCCATGATTTGTATACTCCAAAACCTGGGATCTGGAAACCAACAAAAGAAAGTGTAAAACCACCTATTTCTGTCCCTCTTACAGAAGTTATTCTGAAAATTTTCTAAGGAAAAAAAAACAGAAAAAAAAGACCTTATCTTATAGCCATATTTGTCTGGTATCTCTAATCCTTAAATGTTATTATACATATGTCGAGTAGTCAAATTATGAGAATCTTCTAGTGACACCTTCTAAACCCATCAGATGAATTTCCTATAACAATACAGTTGCCAACGACAAACTTTTGTGTTACTCATACAACAGCCTACTGCCCCTACCGACAAATGATAAAAATACAGTAAAAAGGCCCAGGTTAGAAGGGTCATTTTAACCCCTCAAGGACCAAGTGACAGTGCCGCATGGGAGATAAGTCCAATTAAACCAGAGCAATTTTTCCTTCTGAGTCAAAGCTAATATAGCGACTACTCTTATTCATGGCCCTTTTACCAAGAAGATTCTAGTTCACCTGGGGGTAGCCTCCCTTCATGGGTGATGAATGCCCACCTATTTGGAAAATATACAAGCAAGGTTCTATTGCAGGCATGTATGAATGCATGACAAGTAAAAACGTTAATCACATCTTACCAGCAGATATGTGTACCAAAATTTTCCAGAGATTATGGACATGACTTGCACAAAGCTTGTGATGTAAATTACATCATGCATATACCTGCAAGACATGACCAACCAAAAGCCAAGATTTTATCATAAACCAAATATGTTTGTGCATAGGCAAGCATGCTTATGTGCACTTGCATGCGTGTGTGTTTGTATTAATACCACAAGAATACATGCTACGTTCTTACAGCATTTAAAAGTGCCAGGGATACTAGAGTCAATAAAGTAGCATAGAACAGAGTCACAGTTGTTGAAATATAGAATTGTATGGTTTAACTTATTCATTTGTCTCTGTGTTTCGAAAGAAGAGAAACACACTGTACTCCAACTGTTGCCACACTGCAAATCCTATAACTTCTAAATAAAGTCTAACAGCTCTTAACAATGGATATAAAGAGATTTTTCATTTTTAGTACTTCAAATGAACATAAATTACATAATTGAGTACCATACTTAATTAAGGACCCCAAGAGAGCACATAACACAAGGGTCAAAAATAGTTACAAGGGTATGCCTATAATTCGATAAGCGTCCAAAATTCAAACCCTTGGTATTATCCTATCTAAAGCATTGTCTGAAAGGAAATGAACAAGAAATGAAGGTCCTGCAAATAATAAGAAATATCACTGAAAATAAAGACATACCCACACACTCCACCAGTGGTCATATCAAAGCCACCATCTAGAAGTTCCCCATCATCGCCATAAGAAGGAGTTGCCATCTGGGCAAGTTGTTTATAGGGGATGTAATAAGCCAGGGATGTCAGAAGCAAAGCAATCCAATTTTTCCAGGTGAAAGTAGAATGGAAAATGAGCATCCTTAGCAACACATAAATAACCTACATCAAGTCATAACATCAACATCACTATGCTCAATGGGTTTTGAAATAGAAATTATAATTACCAAATACACCCAGCGACGGAGTATCAATCATACATTACAGGCCACAATCAGGCGACGAAGATTCGCCATGTGCCGGGCGTTCTCTTCTTTACGCTTCTTTGCACCTTGATTTGCCATTGCTCTCTAATCTACTCTCTGTAAGTAAGACTGTAACCCTATCAAAATTGAGAATCCTAATTAAGAAGAAGAAGAGGAAAGCAGATAAAGTTATGTAATGGACGAATTTGACCCTTAACAGGTTGAGTGAGCAGGTTAATATGTAATCCATTTTGAAAGTAGGGCCCAGGACTCACCCCAGAAACCCAATAAAAATGGAAACAAAGCAAATAAGAGCTCCATGTCATCAGAAGAAACACAATAAAAATCACCAGAGCTGCAAGTACACGGAAATTCCCAATTTCTCAAAAATCCTCAGCACAACTAACCTAATTACCAAAATTAAATAATCATCTTCATCATAAATCAATCAAAACAACTATTAACAGAAAGAACCACAATTGGCAAAGAGAAACTTAAATATTTTTCAAAAATCAACAATTTCAACTCCAAACCCAATTTGGTTCTACTTTGACGTATATATGCAAATATATGTATGTATCTATATAATATGTATTAAATAGAAAGGTGTAATTAAAATGACATGGGTACATATAAAACATGAACAGATCTGTTTTTCCAAATTCAAAACAAAAAACCCAATTTAATATGTAATAAAACTAATGGAATACAACAGGGGAAGCAAAATTAAGCAATTCCATCTTCCTTCTTCCTCTAACCTACTAAAGAACCCAACAATATATTCTTCAGAAAGAAAACTACAATCACAACTAATATCACAAAGAACATACATTAATCAATAAGGTCACCACATGGTCCAAGCAATATTTAATATCAAGCGCACTTGAGGAAGACATACACTTTAGCATGAGGCCCCCTATATTCACCATCTTTTCATTCGTGTATAACTGAGAGTTGAAAAGACTTGCCGAAAATTAGAAAGCAATGTGCTAGGAGTTTGTACATATATTGACTTTCGTAGTGTTTTGATGTAGGTTTGGTAAATGAACCAAGCTAATTCACATTTGTCATCTAGCTTACTTAATTCTTATCCACCGTGATATACCAAACAGTACAATTAGAAAATTAATTTTTTCTGATTATTCATACAATTATACAGGATACTGATGCCTTCACATTTACTACATTGCAATTTACTTCATGCTCAGGTAATATCTAAAACTTCAACCTATATGCTAAACAGACTTAAGAAAATCAAGATTATATAATTTGTCCCTTTTTCAATCATTCAAAGTTACAAATGAACCAAATTTTTTTTAAAGAGAAATATGAACATTTCACTACTCCCAACTATTTTCTCTTGTACTTGAGGAATTTTTCACAGGATATCCCAATTAAATTTAAGAAAAAGCAGACCATGAGAGGACTCAAAAATCACAATAGATGATGGCAAATATCCAGATTCAAGAATTGAAACCCACATTCAAGATTACAGGAACATTGAAAACCAAACATACAAATTCAGATTCAAGATTAAAAAACTCAGAAAAGTTAAATAAATAAATAAATAAAGCACTAATTGAATTGACATAAACAAAAAACTCAAAATTCAACCCAGAGTGATTCAAGCCATAAAAATTGGTAGAAACCCACATAAAAAGAGCAAAAAAATTCCCCAACATATAGTCGAATATCCCAAACAACAAAGAAGTATGTTTTCGAACAAGTCAAGCCATCAAAATACAGAATTTTTTTAAATAAAAAACCAACATATCAATCTGCAAAAAATGGAACCCACGATGGTCCAGTAGAGAGAACTACCTGGGTTCGGCTGAGAGGGATGGGACAATTGATAAGAAGTTAAGCTGATATTGGAGGAAGACTACCAGAGCAAGGGTGGAGACCGTAGAGTAGTTGTGATGGTCGGCTGTTGGAGACTGCGGGTTCTTGTTTTTTTTAATTTTATTTAGTGAGAGGACAGCTGTCAGAAGAATAAGGAGGGAATATGGAGGGCAAAGAGAAAATGGCCACAGGAGAATTGAACCAGTTACCGATTCATTCATTTTCAGCCATAGGATTGAAACATTGAATTCCAGCCGTTGACAAAGTGACTGCACCGGTGTATCCACTGTACCACATAATCGTCTAATCTTTAACCCCTCCTCTCCTCATTCTGACGCTGCACAGTTAGTAGCTCCTCTCTGCTCTCAGGTTCTATCCCTATCTCTCTCTTTCACTCTCTCTCTCAGGCTGATGCTATCAAGCTCTTAAGAATGGCTTCCTCAATTACCTCATCTTTGCAAACCAGGTCAGTTTCAAACCCTACTGGGAATTTCATGTTTGCTTGTACTTTTCTCTTCAATAATTCAAGCATTGTTTCAGTTCTTCTCTTTTTGGGCCTTATGGCATTGAACCCTTTTCTTGTTATGGCATATGGGTTACAATGCGTGGTAATAATTTGCAAAGTTAGAATCTTTTTTTACCATTTGAAGCCTTTTTCAAGCAGCTTGTAATGGCATAATGATGGGTTTTGTGTAAGGGGGCATAGCAGGATTTGGTTTTAGGGTTGGCTAAACCATTTCCAGTTAATTTTGTTTATTAAGTATAATTCTTTTTTTAGCAAAAAAACACACATTTACGGGCTAGAGGGACATAGCCAGCTAAAACCTTATCCTCATGAGTCATATGTAAATGCATATTAATAAAGAAACACACAAGTTGAGAAAAAGAAAGGAAAATTGACGAAAAGATAAGAAACAAATATGCAATGCAAATACAGAGTTAGAGAAATGAGTGTTTAGATTGTGTTCTTATATTTTGTAAGTTTTCATTACTTTCAGTAGCTAGTATTGGAATTTGTTTGCCTGACTTTCAGCATTTTCTGATTTAATGGTAAATTCACCAATTAGATTGGAATATTTCTGATTTAGTGAAGAGCTCTTTTCCTATCATGTTTCAGCAATTTGCGGTCTGCCTTTTTGGGCGAGAGAAATGGATTCTCTGTTTGTAGTGTTTCTGTAACTCAGGTTGGGTTTTTGAAAAAGACTATAGAATGTAAGGAATCCCGAATTGGAAAGCAACCTATTGAAGTGCCATCCAATGTGTCAATCAAATTGGAAGGTCAGGCTTTGGAAGTAAAGGGACCATTGGGGCAACTTTCGATGACTTACCCACGAGAAGTGCTGGTTCAAAAGGAGGATTCTGGGATTTTAAGGGTCAGAAAGGCATTAGAGACTAGAAGGGCCAATCAAATGCATGGGCTTTTCAGGTAAGTTTCTTCCATCTTTCAGCCATACACTTTGAACAAAAATCAGTCTTCTTTATTCTTCATGGTTTGTTCTTTCAATTATGTTTTCTGGTGATGTCTTAGAGCTCCAAGTATCATGATAATGGGTCTTATAAAAGAATAAGTATAACGAGATTGGGAATTGAAAAGGGTTTGTGGTTAATGGTTATTATGATATTCTGTATTGTGATTGGATGTCTGTTTTCACATGCCATAGGTAGAATGAGTACTTGACCAAGGGGCGAGTGGTTATATTGCTTTCTTTCTTTTCTGTGAAAAAACAAAGAAAAAAATAGCAGAGAAATTTTTCATTGAATTTGCATCTAAAGCAGGCATTAGTATGATCAAGAAACCTCTCTCTGTCTCTCTCTCTCTCATGTGCCATGTTGTTATGATGCTTTTATTCCCAAAATATTCTTTATTTTTTATTTACTGTACAACATGAATGCTGGTGGTTTGGCCATGTAAGAGGAACATGTACAAGTCTCACTTGAGATTTACAGAATCCGGCTGACCCTTAGGATAGTTACAGACACCATGGTGGTTGAGATTTACGAAAAGCTATTGAGCCCTCTTTCAACTGGCCCTTATGTTCCTATTTGAATACTTTTTCTTAGGACACTGACGGACAATATGGTGGTGGGAGTGTCAAAAGGATTTGAGAAGAGGCTGCAACTAGTTGGCGTCGGTTATCGAGCAACCCTAGAAGGGAGGATCTTGGTATTAAGTCTTGGGTTTTCCCATCCAGTTAGGATGGATATTCCTGATGGCATACAGGTGAAGGTGGAAGAGAATACCAGAGTCATTGTCAGTGGATATGACAAGAGCGCTATCGGCCAGTTTGCTGCTTCAATCAGGAAATGGAGACCCCCAGAACCATACAAAGGCAAGGGTGTGAAATATGCGGATGAAATTATAAGAAGAAAGGAGGGAAAAGCAGGAAAGAAGAAGTAATACCCTTACATTGTTTCATTTTTGTATTCTCACATTTGTGCTTGTCAAATATGCGTCAGAATTCTCGAATGTACTGACATACTGTAAGCAATTTATCGTTAGTTCGTGTTTAATTTTTCCAGTATTCTGTTTACTTGGATCCATTCCAGTTCTCTAGTAGCAAATAAAAGCTAGGCAGACTGGAACAAGAAGGATACTCGCGCACCCAAATTCAAATGAATCACAAAAGAAACTGCCATGGTGAATTTGAATGAAGACAACATGAGGAAATGAAGTAAATAATGACAAACCAACTCGCTTAGAAAAACACAACCGACACCATTAAATTGAAGTTTAATTATTCGTTATCTGAGAAACCCATTTTTTAAAGCCAATTACAAAGTTTGATACTGTTACCCGAAATCTGCCGGTCATTTAGAGATTGGCTATTGAGATTTATGTGATTGCAAGCTGAATCAAACCTCAACAGAATAATTAAATTGAGCGCCAACAGAATGAGAGTGTAACTATTAAATTGAGCGCCAAAAACTGAATCAAACAACCGTGAATTGAGTGGGGAACTGAACAAAAATATAAGTTCTTTTCCATGCCTCAAGCAAAATGAGGACTTCAATATTTCCCTAGTACAAATAGTAAAAACCAAAGCAAGCCAGAACAAATATGAAGTAAAATAAACAGTCAATATAAGTGAAATGAAAGTAAAGCGGATAATGAAGATTTCTCGATTCAAACTAACATAATTTAGATCGGACAGCAAACAATCACAGTACAACAGTGTGGGAGTTTTGGGTGTTGAAACATAGTCCTTACTAATCAAAACTGAGCTGTAACATCATGAGGGCATCATAAACTTATATTTTCTACAACTGGAAGCAATTGACTCATACAACGGAATAGACGAACGGTAAAAACAGAATGAAACTATGAGGACGAAAGTGAAAATTTGTGTTAAACTATTGGTCTATATTGAATGCTCTATTGATCAACAACTGGTCACCGAACACACAGGGATGTTCAGTAGCTAATAACAAAACACAACAATTTTCTGTGTTTTTGCTTATACAGGGGTTTAAAACCTTACTTCCAAATATTAAGTTAATCAGCTGGTAAGTGTGCAGTCCTTGTGCACCAAACACATCATGATTGCAGTGTAAAACATATACCAAACAAATGAAATGGTTTTGGCTATAGCAATAGGTCACCTGGTGAGTAAAATAATGTCCTCAACTGTCAATATGCATAAAGGTAAAAGCAAAGAAAGTAAAATTCACAAAAACTAATGCTATGATGTGGTAATACAGCACAAACTTCATTGGACAGGAAAACAATGCTCAAATCTAAACAATGGACAAAATTTCTTTTAATCCATATAATCCCATTTAACTGGCCACTCAAATTATAAAAACACAAGCGGCCACAAGATGTATGAATCACATGGGAGAAAGATAGTATACTGATGACTGGACCAGCCGGTCATTCCAGATATTGCTCATCGAGATTACAAACCTAACTCCATCATATACACGAGTGACGCAACTCATTCACTCATATGAAGGAGAAAGGCATTCATCAACCATATCCAGAAGGCCTGGGTTTTCCAATGCCGCTGCCACCCGTTCTTTATCGTTCAGTTGCTTATTAACTGCACACACAGTAGAAATTAAAAGCATGAATGTTATACTAAAATTTATGAATTTTTTTACTAAGAATACCAATGCTTCAAAACATCCACAACGTTAATGTACGAGACACAGAGAGAGAGAGAGAGAGAGAGAGAGAGAGACCAGCAGCTTCAGTTGCATGAGATCCGGGGGCCACCCTAATATCCACCTAACCACAGGAAAAAAAAAAAAGGTTAGAAAATAAGCATTATGTTTCCAGAAAACAGAATCTCTGGATTTTCTTTTGAAAGGCTGAGACTTTAACCAGTACAGCGAGCAATGCAACCAACAAATAATAAAGAATTTAAAAATCAATTACACGCACCAGAGAGAAGAAACAAAAAAAAATATTGGGAGAGGGGGGCCAATGACCCTTCTAACGGAAAACAGCAAGCAAAGGCTAACATGAAGTCAACAAAGGGTCATGAATCACAGGTAGCAAACAATACTGACTGACAACTTGAGATGATAGAGCTATTCCAATATTTGGAACAAAAGGTTTGTAAAAGAATCCTCTCTGAATGGCATCGTAAGAGTCTGAGAAAATGATGGACTAGTTCACAATACACGAAAGTTGAAGGAGGCTTAGTTAACTACTTGTTTTTTGTCACAATTCACTTTCGATATCAAGTGGTTGTTGTAAAAAATATCTTGAGTGTGCATTTGGATGCCTACATGTCCGATAACATATATTCTTAGAGGTGCACATACCCAGAGTAAGCTTCGGTGTCCATTTTCAATAATCTCATGATACATCACAAAAAGCACACCTACTTGTATGTCGAGAGTGGACAAATCAGAAGATACAGCCATTACAGCTACCAATTACCACTTCTAACACTAATGCTTTTTTAACAGAGCTAGCTCCAAAAGGCCCTTAAAGGCTCACTTTCCCTAGAAAACACCTATACGAATAATGTTTTTAAAAGATCTTCAGAATGTCTTTAACATTTTATCAAAACAGTAAATAAGATAACTGGACACAAAAACAGCCTCAAAGAGCAAGATGCAATGGAATTGTTAATGACTTTCAACAAAATTTGAGAACCTATGCAGTTCTGCCAACTTCTAGGCATTAATTAGAGATGCTATACTGGCCTTGAGGTCAATCCACCATATCCGGAGTCTATATCTACGATATTTTTGCTACAATTTTTATTTATTTGCGCTATAGTACCTAAAAGGTCAGTTAACCAGTCAAGCATCAAAAAAGAAAATAAACAAAATAACAACACAAGAAAGGTTTGTCAAAATATTATACTATTGTAGAGCAGCACATCAGGAGCAACGTTTTCGCTTCTTCCTCACTAATTAATTCACACAAGTTAAGAAATGGTGCATAACTCTTTTACACTTATGTTCAAACAGTTGATTTCTTACCAAGTCATACAATAATCTTGTGGCAAAACTTTCTGCCAATGCATTTTAGTGTTTCCCTTTAAGATTAAGACTACTCCAAATGTCATTTTCTTTGATAGTTCAGTTCAGTTTGTTGAAAGCAAAGCTGTAGTGCAGAAAAAGTATAAAGAGAAACACATGCTTGAGATGAAAATATTGGAAATCCACAGTAGAAAAGAAATGCAAAATATTCATACAAAATATCAAGCAAAGGAAAGTGCTGGAAAAGAAAAGACCAATCTCAACTCAGGCACTAAGTGTCCAAAAATGATCTGGAATATTACTCCCCCCATACTAATCACATAGCGCATAATAATACGGCTCTCCAAACAAACCTCTCTAGTTTTACCCCAAGTCTCATAAATTCAACTGACAGCTACCTTTTTCTCTCAACTCAACAGCTTAAAGAACAGTAACACAGTGCGGTCAGAATTCAAATGAAAATATTTGACGTAGTCCTAATATGCACTCCCAGTTTCACCTATATTAAATGGTACATTAAGAATATTGTAAAACAAAGTCAATCACAAGAAGATAAAGGTCATACCTTGTAACGAGAAGGCAGGCTCCTCAAGAGTTTAACACGTAAGCAAAGACCAATAACTGTTGCCATACTACAATGTTCCACAGTAGGAGTAAATGTGACTCTGAAGAAAACAATTAGCATTTATTCCATAAGGTTTAAAACGAAACATTAATTAGGAAAAAAACTGTTCAAAATGAGCATACAATTTTTTTTTCTACCTGACAGAGCCACGACTATCATCTACTTCAATTGCATCTTCTGTAATTACTTTGAGCTCTTCCAAAGAGTAAGGGTGTTCCGGGTCTTTTATATCTCTAATATGATTTAAGAATCGTTAAGAAAGACTAAATTCATCCAGGCATACAAGTCAAAATACAAAACTACTTTCAAGCCTAAGTCATAGGTTAAGCCGATGAAGAGCTTAATATTCATTCATAAAAGGCATCAGAACATAACTAGATTCTGCATGTACATATACAGTTACATGCATGCGTGCAACTATACAGAAAGGATATCAAAAATTTCTTGTTGGTCAATGGGTTCAACAGCGTATTCATCTGCAGCAGCACTTGGGACACTACGAACCCGACGCTCTTTCTTTTCGTAGATGACTGGATTTGCATTTATTAACCCAGATACCATTTTCCCTGGAGAAAACAAATAAATAAAGTAACAAACGTAGAAACAAAAATGAACCAATCAGTGAAAAACATGGATATGAGACAGCTGAAATTTCAAAGAATAAATTATATAGATCTATCATACGAGCTGCTTGATGACACTTAGTCTATCATAAGATCAGGATCTTACTCAGAATAAATTGTCATGATGACATTTTGTATCTCATCATACGATGCTATTTTCTTACTGTCCTAGAACAGAACCAAGAGCCATACGACCCAGCAAAACAGAGACAATGGGGAAGACATTTAAGTACAATCAATAAGATCCCCAAACAAAACTACTATCACAAAATCTATATTCATGAGATTTTTTATAGTCACTCAACTAACTGAACTTAATGATCAATTGAAATAGCTTCAAAATCCAACCCTGTACACCAGCATGACATGCCTCCAATATCAAACATGGAAGCACAGAGCGAGAAAATCACCGTATGGAATGAAACTAGAAAACCAGACGAACCAACAATATTGAACACCTAGAATAAACTCAACAAGGGTTCAACCAGAAAATTAAAAAGAAAAGTTGAGAACTACTAATAGAGAAAACCATCACCGATTAATACTTGTACAGTCAAAAATAAAATGAAACTACAAAGCAATTGAAAATACCAGTAATAAAATGCATTAACATGAGGAAAAGAATGCATAACTTTCTTTCTTCTGCGGGATTTACATACCAGTACTAAAAACCCCAAAATAAGAAGATTGCAAAATAAAATTCGAGAACTATCTACTGTTTCAAAAGGTGAACGTAGATACAAAAGAGATAGATTACCTGAAAAGGTAGATTCTTCGAAACACTTCAGAGAGCAGGAGAGGAGAGTGACTAGAGGACCCTTGCCAGAAACAAAAAACTGAGATTTTGTAAGAGGAGAGAGATTGGAAGACAGAGAGAAAAGGCGAGGCGTGAACGTCGGGGAAGAAATAGAGAAGAGGGAATCGAGGAGAGAGGCCGGGAGGAAGAAACTGAGGGAGAGAGGTCGGAGCGAAATAAAGAGAGAGAAAGGCCGTTGGTGGCTGCGGGTTGAGAGAAGTGGCGCCCACCTTGATCCCTTTACAAATTTACTTAATTAAGAGCATGTACGATGGTAAATACCCGTGGTTATTCCTGCGACTTCGGAAAAAAAAAAATTAATTAATTTTAGTAAACTCAAATTGAAGGGGACCGGTTCTATTAATTTATTATATCTTTTTTAAAATATCTCATCCTTTCGTTAGTCCAACTCTCATCAACCCAAGTAATTAGTCTAATTTCAAAGCCAATATTCTTTATATATTAGAGCATCCACAATGGGGGGTGTATATTAAATATACACCCTGAATCACCGGAATCGTCTCCAATGGGGAGATGTAAATGGATGTAAATATACATGACCACCATGGGGATGTAAAATAAAATGTATATTTACATCTATTTTTACATCCCTTGCAGGCGGGACCCACCCGAGAAAAGAGAAGAAAAATGAAGAAAGGTCAATATAAAAGGCTGGGACCCACGGCTACACCCCCGAATTTACACCCCCCACTGGAGCAAAAAACATATTTACACCCCCAGAGGTGTAAGGGGGATGTAAAAGTGGCTTTACACCCCCGAATTTACACCCTCCCACTGTGGATGCTCTTAGAGCATATCTAAGGGAGTAGTTATTCCGCACGTTATTATCGTGCGCATGCTATTGTAAACAAGGAGAAAAACAGGGAAGGGTAATAAAAAATACATGACGTCTGCACGATAATAATGTCCGGACGTCCGCATAGGAGAATTTATGTCTAAGGGAGTATACAAAGGCAAAATTGTACTATAACAACTTGGGTGGCATGTTTGCCTTAGGGGTGGGCATAGTTCATTCGATCCAATTTTCCCCTCTAATTGGAATCGAAATTGAAACTTACACACAGGCCAATTTAGTTATGTTTTCATAGAAAGTGTTTAGAAGAACCGAACCAAATCGTACCTATGCGATTCTGAATCAATTCGGCCGGTTTCTGATTTGGAAAGATAAAAGTATGAACATGTGAAGAGTTTAGAAGCAAGAAGATGAGAAAAAGGTTGAGGAAATAAAAGAATTGAGAAATAAATGAAGAGATAACGAGGAAGAGAAATAGAAATAAATAGGTGCAAAAGTGAGAAAGATTGAAGCGCAACAAAAACAATTAGGGCTCGTTTGGTACGGGGGATTGTCATGGACTGGATTAAATTCTTGGATTGGCTTGGATTAGCTTGGCATGGCCTAAACTAATAACACTTGTACTACGTTTGGTATATGTTTGATTGGACTATGACTAAATTATTTTAAAATATTTTTCTTGAAAAGTAAGTTTTTAAAAATATTTTTTTAAACTTTTCTTATCTCTGTCGAGATCTCCCTCAACCCCCTTCCTCTTCTTGGACCTCCAACAACCCCACCCTCCGCAACAAATCTCAAAGCGAGTCGGCGATGACGAGTCAAAATCTTTGGTTTGATTGGCGCCATGAGATCTCTGCGTTGCTCAGAGGAGAGAATCGTGTGGAGGTCATCTGCTGGGTTTCTTCAATTTAATTATTTTTGTTTGACTGGGTTTCGATAATTGAAAAGGAGAAATTGAGTTTGATGAGTAGAAGAAATACAATAACTTTTTTTTTGGGGGTTTGGTTAATTGAAAGAGAAGGAAAGTTGTCTGGCTAAGGATTGATTCAATTAATGGGCTTGGGTTAGTGGCTGTTGGAGAGAGGGAAGGGATGAAGTGGGCGGGGTCAGTGGCTGTTGAATGGAGAAGATGAGAGAAAGGCAAAGCCGCTCCAGACCCAGCTTTCTCATACTGCTCGAAAGCTACGAGGGAAGGAGGGGTATCTGGGTTTGTTTGGGATGAGGGAGGAACAATTTTTCTTTATTTTATGAGGTTGCTGCGGTGGTGGATTGAGGTTGTTGTGATGGTGGGGGGTTTGGATCGATTGCAGGAGCTTGGGTACTCGGTGGTTGTGGATGGCGCTTGGATGGTCGGTGTTTGCAAGCGCTTGGGTCGGGACTATGTTGTCCCCCCATTCCACACGGGACTCACTAAGAACACCTAAGAAGGTGTTTTTGGTGGGGCCAGTATTAACAGTCCCACTTAAAGCTAGAATTAAGTGTAAACAAACATGGGATAAAAATTTGTCTAGTCCAATCCAAGCCAAGAAGGTGTAACAAACGAGCCCTTATGGTTCACCGAAAAGAAAAAGAAGTTGGGCTAAAGATGTTTTTTTTTCACACAAGCACATTTGCTTTAGCCAATTTGGCTAAATATATTATTTAGTTCGATATAAATTGGAACTAAGGCGCATTTGGGTATTAATTGGGCTTACAAAATCTTGATATTACTTGGAGTTACTAATATGATTTGAATATTAATTAGGCTTATTAATAATTTTGGATGCCAATGGGGTCTAGAGCCTTGACTTGTAGACTAGTGGTATTGAGTTTGAACTCCCATAGTTCCATTGTAATGTGTGTGAGAAACCCTCCTCCCATTGTAGTTTAGACTATCGCATGTATTCAAAAAAAAAAAAAGGATATAAATAAGGGGTTCTTAGATCTAGGTCCAAAACTATTAACTATCATTGGGTTTAGTCCACGTGTTTTTGGTTTTAGATGTAGGTCATTTGACTTTATTTACTTTTTTTGTTGTGTCGATTTTACCCTATGAGGTAAATAAGAAAAACATATTAAAAATCTAAATTTAATGCATTATTTCCTTGTAATTGAATTTTGAATTATTTCCTTTATAATATTTACCTAATATATACCATTTAATCAATGAAAGTAAGACCCGCATATTATACCTATGCAATGGACAATAGGACAATATACCTATACCATAGGATAATATATCTTCACCATAGGCTGAACAAACCATAAAACAACTTACCTATAAGTAAGGTGGAAAAATAGACAAGCAAAAGAAGAAGAATAATAATAAAAGAAGAAGAAGAAGAAAAAGTCGATACCATGACTGCATGGTAAATGGATATTAGAGCATGCTTTAGCGGGTCATTTGTGCCTTGGGATGAACCCCAAGTCTGAATCTCCATAATTTTCTCATCTATTTTAACAGAGTGTTTGGCTTCCTTTGAGCACTAAACTCACTCCATTTTCTATTTAAATCCCGCACTTCTCTTTGTTCACCCCAATATTTAAATCATTAAGCTGTTAAGTTTTATTATTGTGTAAAAAGACAAAAAAAGGTCATCAAACTTAATACTTAACCCTAGTACATCCATACACACACCCCACCACTCTTCATATTAAGTTTTAGAAAAATACAAAATCCTCTACATCTTTTTAAAAGACGTAGAACGTTGAGGAGCCTACCTCTTTAGAAGCTGCGTGGGAGCTGATGGAAAGGCTTGTTGATTGCTTGGTTGTAATGATCTTATTCTCTTCCCACTGTTTCATATGTACTACAAATATTGTTTAATAATTTAAGTATTGGAGTGAACAAAGAAAAGTGTGGAGTTTAAATAGAAAAACTTTTTTATTTTTTCTGCTGGGTGTGTATTTAAGGGTAGTTTGGGAAGATGGTTGGTTTTCTTAGAAATTGTGAAAATTTGAATTAGAAGTTGAGGTGAACTTAGAACATGGGGTGAACAAAGAGAAGTGTGGGGTTTAAATAGAAAAACTCTTATTTCTTCCTTATATCAATGTACAACATTTAAAAAAGAAAAAAAAAGTCTTCCAAATCAGGTACTTTACTTACCATAAATTTAGTAATTTATTATAAAACCACCATAAATTTTGCTGCAATTAATAACTTCATTATTCCTTACTTTTTATTTGCTCAAGGGTAAACTGGGTAAGGACAGAAATATACTATTGGCTAATTATTTCATTAAGGTAAGTAATCTAAGGTAATAGGCAATATTGGAACAAAAAATGATTTTAAATATATAAAAATAAAAAGATTACATTAGACAATATTAAACAAGGAATGTAATCCTATGAAAAGGACTTGGATCAAAGTCACCAAATTTGAGGATCAAACCCAACTCCTCGATGAAAATTTGGATCTATATAAACTTTCCTATATAAATAAATAAACTTAACATAACCGATCTCATTCAATTTAGACCATTTTCTAACGCAAAAACTAGGACAAAAACTTATCCATAGAAGTCTGATTCGGTTTTTGAGCGTAGGTTGATTTTTTTGGTCAACACTATGTTTTTCGGTTTTTTTCCTACTTGGTTCATTGGTTCAAATAAGAATGGCAATGAGTCGAATTAGGGGTGGGTATGTCATTCTCATCCCCATTCCTATTAAGCTTTTTTCCCCATCCTTGTTAAGCCTTTTTCCCATCCCCACCTTCATACCTGCAATATTCATATCGGGAATTCCCCATCCCCACCTTCGTTGGGGAATGGGTTCCCCGACCTACCCCATTATGGAAGAAAAAACCAATATATAACTACTTTGTTGAAAAAAAGAAAGAAAGTACTAAGGCAAGATAATTAATACATATAATATATACTTATAAGACAATGTAAGAATGCTTATATATGTATTGGAAGTTAACTAATATAAAAATATAAAACTTAGTCGGTACAATCACTTTAATAGCATATTTATATATACTACCTCATCAAAAAATTAATTAATATATATATATATTAAATGGGGAGGGTTTGGGTTGGGGATTAAAATACCATCCCCACCCCTCACCGAACACCATACCCAAAAAATTCCTCATACCCATCCCCATACCCCTTTTTGGTCCTTTATACCCGACCCATTAGGGTCGAATCCCCGCGAAAACCCTTACCCGTGAGGAAAATTGCCATCCCTAGATTCAAATGTTCACCCCTAATTTGCCTCATGAAATAAGTTAATCACTCTAACGGGGCAATGCAATTATACAAAATATTATTATATTATTTACTTTTATCTTTTACATTTACTATTATCTTTTATAAAAGTATGTGAGAGAGATTTCCCATTTACAAGCTCATTTTGCAGTTCGAATTGAGGCTTATCAATTTGATCTCTAGCGTACGCATCTTCTCTCTCTCTCCTTAGCTGGTTCTTTCCTTTTCTTTAGAAAGCCAATTCACATAGTCGTGTAGATGTAGAAAACCAAGGCCTCCAAAATGGTCCACAAAAATCCTAGTTCATTAATTAAGAAAGCCAATTCACATAGTCGTGTAGATGTAGAAAACCAAGGCCTCCAAAATGGTCCACAAAAATCCTAGTTCATTAATTAAGAAAGCCAATTCACATAGTCGTGTAGATGTAGAAAACCAAGGCCTCCAAAATGGTCCACAAAAATCCTAGTTCATTAATTAAGAAAGCCAATTCACATAGTCGTGTAGATGTAGAAAACCAAGGCCTCCAAAATGGTCCACAAAAATCCTAGTTCATTAATTAAGAAAGCCAATTCACATAGTCGTGTAGATGTAGAAAACCAAGGCCTCCAAAATGGTCCACAAAAATCCTAGTTCATTAATTAAGAAAGCCAATTCACATAGTCGTGTAGATGTAGAAAACGAGGCCTACAAAATAGTCAAAAAAAATCCTAGTTCATTAATCACCAGAAAAATAGTCCCTCACAGAAGCACATAATGAGTAATAACATATAGTCATTCAATTGAGAAATTATAAAATACTATGATAATATGGTCACGTGATACATTTTTTACACGTATTATAATATGAGTGGACGACAAAATTTATTTTCCTTTTTTTTCAAAGAATATTAACACGTGTACAAAATATACCAAATGACCGTACTACAGTAGTATTTTATAATCACTTCTTTTTTTTTTTGGTCTGAACCACTAGGTGGTCCTGGATGGGCCCCAACTATGGACGACAAATAATATGGTCACGTGATACATTTTTTACACGTATTATAATATGAGTGGACGACAAAATTTATTTTCCTTTTTTTTCAAAGAATATTAACACGTGTACAAAATATACAAAATGACCGTACTACAGTAGTATTTTATAATCACTTCTTTTTTTTTTGGTCTGAACCACTAGGTGGTCCTGGATGGGCCCCAACTATGGGTGGCACCTTTAAGCCTTAACCACAACCCAGACTAATCCCCGTTCACACCGGGTCGGCCCGTAAGGGATAAAGTGCTAGCCAAAGTGGTGATTCCGTACAAGAGCATGGATCGAACCCTGACCTCTCTTAAGGAATGAGAGTGCCGAACCACTCACACCAACCACCTTGGTTTATAATCACTCCTTTCAATCTAACATAAATCATAGGTTTTTTTTTGGTCGTACATAAATCATAGGTTTGACAACGATCTATTCTATGATTCCTATCTGATTGAAGCCCCCATACGGATCAGGGGGCCCCATTTTTTTTTATAGCTAAAAATTGTGGCGACCCGGCTACCACCCGTCTTCAGGAGAGCATGAGTTTTCTCAGCGGGCTCCACATCCCCATCCTGGTTATAATTTTTTCTGCCAACAAAATCGAATATCACATATTCTCCTTTTTGTAGCAGAATAAAAATTTCCACAACAAATCTGAACAAATTTTTTTGTTGTTTTTACAAACCAAAACAACTCATGAATGATGACGATGATAATGACGTTTTTACGTTTGTATTCCGAGTCAAACCAGCACAGAGGCCAAAAGCCAACAACCCAAAAACCTCAAAAGAACTCGGAACTCTCTCTTCCTCTCTCTCTCTCCCTCCTCGGATTTTGTTGGACTTCTGTTTTCGTGTTCTACCAATACATGGCAATCTAATTGCCTTTTTAATTATTTGCTAGTTTTGTTGTCGTTCATCTAAAAGCAGAGGACTTCCACTTTTTCATCTCCTGGTGAAAAGCTCATCAATTCTGGGCACTGTTTCTTCTTTTAACATTCAGGTGCGTTTTTGTTTTTATTTATCTAGGTTTTGATTAAATTTTCTTTTTATCGCAATCGGGTATGCAGTGGGCTTCATGCAGATTAAAGACGAGATGTTATGGGGCCTTTTTTAGTTTATAGATAAATTTGGGTGGTAAATAAATTTGAGTTTTCCAATTCAGCTGTTCTTAGTTGTTGGATTTAAATATCATCTTTAAACGACCCGTGAATTATTGTTCGTTTTTTGTTATTCTATTTCTTTTCAAATTGATTGACTTATTGTCGGGTGTAATTATTATTATGTATTTTCTTATCATACTCAAGAATTTATTCTGCTTCACATATGAATTGTTAGATGCCATTGTTTCAGGGTTTGGTGAGGTTTACCTCTTGGAGTATCTAAGCTTACTGAAATTTCTGTCGGAGTTCTGGATTGAAAATGAGAGCAATTGCTCGATCTATTAGCCAATGTAGATCAGCTTTACAGCATCAAGCATGTCAATACTCAAGTGGTTTTGTGAGAAGGCAAAAGCTTTTGACAAACACCTATTCTGCGTTTGTTTATAAACACGCTAACAATGCCAAATTCGATATCTTTCAACGACCCAGGTTTTCTGTGATCTCAAGAGCTCTGTCAATAGATGCTGCTCATGTTACTAATGGAGGTACTCTTCTATTTTGGGTTGTCTTATATATCTCTCTTTCATCAATAGTTCATAAAGAAGCATAGTTTCCTCAATTTTTTGTTGGTTTTCGGATTAGTGGCAGATGTAAACAGAGCAGGGCCACTTGTTGAGTATGAACGAAGAATTGCTGCTGGTGAACTTGTTGATGGTGATGCCTGCCAGGTATGACAAACAACTGAGTGAGTGCATGCTTATCAATTTCGTAGAAATAAATGATGAAAAGATTAAAATGAATACTGTTTGGGCATCTTGGTTTCATTCTAATGCTAAATGACGCAATAACGGTGTATGGAAACCTTGGAATTGAGCTTCTTGTTTTCACGTACTGTTTGTTACGGGACACGTTATTTAGTGGGAAGTTCACCATTGATTTGGGCTAAAGAATTTAAACTTCAGGTCTTATTTAGTAAATCCTGTGTTAATTCTGGGGTGGTCCTGTTGAATAGCAGCTCAATAAACTGTATTGAATAAGGCAATCAATATGTCTTACCTATTGGTGTTGCTTTTTCTTTTTCGATCTGACTAATTTTTGCAGGTAGGCACCTTAAGAGAACTTCAAAGGCTCTATGATGAACTTGTTCAGTCAGCTGATGCCTGCCGATTGGATAGGTATACAGCTTCTGCGAAATCTGGAAGGTAATCTTTCATAACTTGTTTTTTTTTTTCCACCACTTGTGATCCAATTTTAAATTCTATACTGATACAGCATTTCATTAGCTTCGTGTTTGAATTTTGTACTTTCCTACTTTTAGTTTGTTCCATGTTGAAGTAGTAACCAATTGCTCATCCATTTGTATGTATGCAGGAGTAGGTGGTTGTGGTCTCGTTTCATCCCACAGTCTTCAAGCTCACCAGTCAAAGGTCTTTATCTTTATGGAGGGGTGGGCACAGGGAAAACCATGCTGATGGACTTGTTTTATGATCAGCTGTAAGTTTGAAATGCATGTTTGGTTGTTCTGTTATTGTTTGATTTCCATAGATATGCCACGCTGTCATTCATAATTCTTGAGAAACAGCCCTTGTAAATTTAATATTATTAACAGATTTTGGCGGTGATCAAAATTTTATTTATTTCTGTTCTTGATTATCAACTTGTCCACCTTCTCTCTCACCATAGATTGCTGTTTTTATCTCCTAATACTTTGATTTTCATTTGTCAGAAAATGCAGTTGGAGAAAAAAGAGGATTCATTTTCATGATTTTATGTTGGATGTCCATAGATGCTTGCGAGTAAGAATGCAATTCTATTATATGGACTTATATTTGTCATGGACTGAGAAATATTTTCTTACTGGAACATAAGCTCTGTGTTTGGTAAAAGTGTTATAATTAAAATGTTTATATGTCTTTCCATCATTATAAATGTAGATTACATCATCAAGTACAGTAGCACATTTGGTAGTTTGGCACACCATCTCCTGGATGGATGAAATCCAAGCAGATTATTCTGACAGTACAATTGGTTTTCATACTTCAGGATTAGTAGCTCTTTTTTTCAGTCATTTGATCTTCGCACACTTTTGAACAAAAAGTTCATTTCATTCTGGATATTTGTTGCTTTGGTATTAGGTATTATACAAATTCCAGATTAAGGTTAACATGAATGTTTTATAATTTCTCAGAAGCACCAGGGTGTAGAAGATCCACTTGAAGTGGTTGCAGGAGAGATATCCGATGATGCAGTCTTGTTGTGTCTGGATGAATTCATGGTAGAACACTAGTATTTACAACTATGCTTAGAAATCATCTCTGATTACTAGTACTTTTGTTGTACTGATTGTCTTGCGGTCTTTCATAGGTGACTGATGTAGCTGATGCATTAATATTAAACCGTCTGTTTAGACATCTATTCAGCAACGGTATCGTAAGTAGTTTACCTCCATTTACTTTCTTGTGATCGTATTCTTTTATACAATGTGGATTTATGTATTCTCTAATTAAAATTATTCTATTTTTCTTTGTTTTTTCATTTTTGGTGTGTGGCAAGTGTAGATTCTTGTTTCCACCTCCAATCGTGCTCCGGATAAGCTGTACGAAGGTGGACTACAGAGGGATCTTTTTCTACCCTTCATTGCGAGTTTGAAGGTATGTATCTGGATGTGGTCTCATCTGCTTGTTGTTAGGTTAGTTCAACCCTGTGATATTAGTATATGTTTGGCACAAAACAAGATAAAATGTGGCCAAGCCACTTGTGGCGTGACTAAGCCTTTAGTTGGGTTTTATTTTGTATTATAAAACCCTGTCTCATGTATGCGGTTTTTTGGAGTGTTGCATCCGACACCAATACTCGTGTATTCTGCCCTCCTAGTGTGTTATTTAGTTTGCACTTCATAACAAGGGAATTTTTGGTTGTAGGAAAGATGTGTAGTTCATGAAATTGGTTCAGCAGTAGATTACCGGAAACTGACTTCGGTGAGATATCAAGTCCACTAACATTTGTTACCTCCACATGTTCAGGTGATTTTGCCTAATGTTTATAAGTTTCTAATTTCATGTTTGCACCTTAACTACAGGCTGAGCAAGGTTTCTACTTTGTTGGCAAAGATTTGTCAGGCTTTCTGATACAAAAGTTTCAACAATTGATTGGGGAACACGAAGCTGGTCCACAAGAGGCAGAAGTAGTAATGGGAAGGACCTTAAAGGTACTTTCTTGGTTGCCTTTTGGTGAGGCATGTGAAGAGAATATTATATAGTCCTGTTGTATTTTGGATCTGACAGTATATTTTTTATTGCCATCAGGTTCCACTAGGTGCTGATGGAATTGCCTATTTTCCTTTTGAGGAACTATGTGACAGACCTATGGGAGCTGCAGATTATTTTGGATTGTGCAGTAAGTAACAACCTAGCAGATTGGATTTTTTTCATGCATATTAGCATATTAAATTAATTTTGGGAAATGCCCTTAAATACCACTATTACTGTAGCAAAGTTCTCAAATAGCACTATTATGTCATATCAAAACTATTTGGGATTGTTTGCTATTGAAATATGGACGAATTTCGACAGCATATCGAGATGATATCGATGTAATGGGACTATTTACTAAAGTGATCGTGCTATTTGAGAACTTTACTCCAGTAATAGTTGTATTTGAGGGCATTTCTAATGAATTTTAGATAGTTGAGATATGGCACTATTGGGGTGAGACTTGAGTAGGGATGCAAAGCAGTATTCAGTACTCGTGCAGTCCTACGTTAAAAGTAGGAGCTTCATGTTATAAATCTGGATGATAAATTAGTACATATATCCTTATGAACCTTTATAAAAAAGGTTTTGCTTGGATGCACAAAGATATGGATTGAAATATTTGCTTAAATTTTGGGTCTTATTTATTGGATCCAAACACCCTACTCTTTTGATAGTTCAAGAATAATTTCGTCTAAAGGTTCTTCATTTTCCTTTTACAGAGAAGTACCATACCCTGGCATTGGAGGGCATCCCAATATTCGGACTCCACAATAGGACAGCAGCATATCGGTTTGTCACTTTAGTTGATGTATGTTCCCTGTTTCTTCATGATTAGTTTGCCCGTTTTGATTACCTAAGGTGCTGCTAAATGGAAGGATCTTATCAACGTAACTTACTTTTGGACTTCATACTTCTGCAACCAAAGCATTTGGGAATAAGATTTGTTCATATCCTTGGTTAACCTCCACTGGATACTTTTGTAACTGCATTTGAGTTATAGCTCATTTGCAGAAAGGAGTTTATTTAATTTGAACTGATTGTGGAAATAAGACATTCATTTCAGTCTACTAGTGTTGGATAGATAGATTTAGTGCTTTTTTAGTGTATTATCATTCTTAACAAGTTCATTAAATGCATAAATTTAATTATGCTGTCATCTGTTTTCTACTCTCCCATTGGGATGTTGAAATAGTATTAATGCTTTTCACCAATGCGGTTACAGGTGATGTACGAGAACAAGGCCAGACTGTTGTGTACAGCTGAGGGAACTCCATTTGAACTCTTTGAAAAGATTGTTACAATCTCTGATGCCCAACAAATGGCACCTAGAACCTCTTCGAGGTCAAGGAAAAATGATGATTCTGGGCTGTGTGTTGATAATGAATTGGGTTTTGCTAAAGACCGCACTATTAGTAGGTATGTTACTCAGCAGAATCAGTAGTAGGAATTTTTTTATAAATACAATATATGATGATATATGATATTTAATATGGTAACTATGAATTTGGAACTATATTTCTACCTGTCTCATTTGCCTGTTATTGCACATTAACATGTCCTTTCTAATTCATGACAACTCATAATTTTCTCTTAAATATGCATTTCAGTTAGATTTAGTTGTCAGGTCAAATATTCAATCAGTTCTCTTGGTTTGGGTTGAAGGGCGTGGAAGAAAGTCTGGTTTGTGTACTATGTGTTTTGAAACTTTGTTTCATCGAGAAATCTTGTTTTGCTTTCCTTATTTTCAGATCTGCTTTAGTCTGATTCTAACCTTTTACAACCTGCTTTTGTCCTCTCTTCCAAATACAAAGTCTTGATATTTATACGGGACTGTATCGATGATTACCTAAGCACGTAATAACTTGTTCTCTGTGGTCAATCTTTGTGTTCCTAGGTCATAGATAAGTAACTGAAACGAAGCAGCTTATGGTGTAGTGTAGGATATCGAGCTACAATTATCATAACAGTCTTACCAATTCTATTATCTTTTTTATATAACCTCCCGGAAGAATTGGGAAGGGAAAGGAAGAAAGCACTTGTCAATAAGTCTATTTGCATTTTGTATTTAGGTTGTATGAGTGTAGTTAATTTGGGTCTCTCTCTATTTCTTTCTATTGCAAGTACTGATTCTGAAACCATGAACGCAGATTAACAGAGATGAATAGCAAAGAATACTTGGAGCACCATGCTGCAACGATTGGAGAGAAGAGCTCACAGGAAGGCACAATTCACGATAAAACCGTGCAAGCATGATGCAGAAAAAAGATCCAACATCTTCTAAGTCCATCCAGTTAACCATTGGTGTAAAATTGTGTGGTTGCATGTTAGCAATTCACCAGGTTTAGTGAGGGATTCCTAGTTAAAAATAGGATTCACTAGATCTATTTTTTAGTCTGTTCAATAAATGCAATCTCATATGCCCTTGTCATAAACGTTATAACAAGCAACAGTTCTACTGGTTGGCGCCCCTGTTTTTATAATAAGGCTCTGAAATTTTGAGGCTTGATTATTTTCATGCAACATGCAGACCCTGTCATTGAAGCAGATATGTTTCTGAGCTATTGAACTTGGTTGTGAGGATTACTTGGATGAGTCATATAAATGTTTTTTTTTTTCCGTTATAATAAAATACAAGCAATGTCTAAACCGGTCCAACCTATTTTCAAAAGAACAACAGTACAATTTCAAGATATAAAGACATCGAGAAAAGTAGAAAAGTTGAGGAGCACATATTTTCTTTGTAGTACACTTTCTTGTTTTGTTTATATCCCGTTGTCTTTATTATATTTCCCTTGTTTTGTATTGTTCTTATTATATTTCCAAGTTCCAAGCAATATCAGCATCCACATCACTTAAGGAAGTCTTTTTAATCTTTATTTTCTGGTTCTCTCAAGCAGACTTCTAGTTCAAAACACGAAAACACTATTATAGTTGTATTATTATCTTGCTAAACTAACTATTCCCCATCAATTGGATGAATTTGGTACGGGAAAGGGAAATGGGGCAAAATATAGATCTCTTCGAGAGGATCTAACCTCCAAAGCTTAAAGATGTTTTTACTTTAGAGCATCTCCAATTGATATGTTTTTTTTGACAAGTGGACAAAAAAACGCGTGCACTCCAACCAAACGCTATAGCTGACACAAATATGAACAGCAAGAGAGAGAAATGTGTCAAAAATGATGCTATCAAACTCAGGCGTCAATTCAATTTTGTGATTATAGAAAATTCGAAGATTTTTGGTGTGGAGCTCCTCTTCAGTTTTAAAGAGCCAAACAATGCTCGTCATGCTCTTGTAGAAAAAAAAAAAAACACCACATGGCATCTACAAATAATTATAAGGACAGAGTCCCTCACCAAATATAGCAGATAGTATAGAATCCTGGAAACAGCAATTAGACATCACACCAATCGATAGCCTATTGGATTTGGAAATACAAGGAGGACGTATTGACCCAACAACTCATTACGCAAAGCCATAATAATTCTTACATGCAAAAAGGGTTAGTTTCCTAAATTAAGAAAAAATTAGTCATTTTTGGATAATGATTTTTATTTTGAGTAATTCCCCCCTAAAACCCAAAGCATTTTAGGGGAAACCCAAATCTAGATCTACCACCTTCCCACCCCACCCCAATGCCATGCCACCAGAGCTCATGGTGGGCGGAGCAATAACTGCTGATGATGTTCATCATCCTGAGTTATGTGTTTCTGTTTTTGTTCATATAGGTTTTCGAAAATAATTATTTATTCTCATTGCTTTAATTCCTCTTCTGGTTGCATTCTCTGGTTGGCAACCAAACCCTCTGGTAATCCTATGGTTTTATTTTTTGGTTTTTTCCTTTACCAACCATTTGGTTCGTGTATATGTGTGTGTGTGTGCGCCCATCATGTTCTTTGCATGTACATATACTTGTTAATATTCATTGCCAATGGGAGCATTAATAAGCCTAATTAGGATTATTGTGTATATTTGTGTGTGATTTTGAAATGAATTTTTGTTCAATTTTGAATACATGGGGGTGAAATTGTTTTGTTAGTGTTTTCTTCAGTTTGGTCGGAATTGTTGCTTTGGGTTTAGAGATTATATATATATTCTCTTGAAAGGGAATGGCAGCAGGCAGCCCGCAAAGCTTAAGAAAAGCTTTGAAAACTGTTGGATTGGCAAAAGCCAATGGCGATTTCAAGGTATTAATTTTACATCATGCAGCATCATGGTTTATGATTGATAAGTTTTGAAAGGGATATTTCATATATGTACTACTGCAGGCACTGGATGTTGCCATTGCCAAGGCCACAAGTCATGATGAAGCATTGCCCAAGGAGAAACATGTTTTAAGTATGTGAAACTTCTTTCTTCCTGGGCCTGGGCAACATGCATTTTCTGTGGAGTTTATATATGGTTGTCGTTCAGTCGTATACAGTTTGATCCATGGTCTGCAAATTCCTGTTGATAGCGAAATTGATCGTTGAATTTTTCATTATGTTCTTCTGTTGCCAGCTATACTAAAGGCAGTTTCGGCTTTAAGACCTCGTGCTGAAGCCGCTTACTGCATCCATGGTCTTGCAAGGCGTCTTAGTAAGACTCACAATTGGAAGGTATGTCCCTGATGACCTTGGTTCAATTTTCTTTTTACTAGAGCAAGCATATTATACAAATACTAGAGCAAGAAATGGAAAAAAAGAAAGAAGAAAAAAAAGGCCATGCAATTTTCTTTATTCAATACCAACTTTTTAACTCCTCGTTCTCTATTGCTGATAAGATTGTTTTATTACTTATATTCCTGCTTCAAACTCCATATGGTTCTTGTTTATGATGATCTCCCTCTGAAAAGGACATCCCCTTATTTGTTAGTATATGAATACAAACAATCTCAGCTTCCAGTGTATGCCTAGGTAGCACTGAAAACCGTGATTATTGTGCACCGTGCTTTGAGGGAAGTTGATGACACATTTTGTGACGCTGTAGTCAAATATAGCTGGAGTAGAGGTCATTTGCTGAATTTATCTCATGTTTGGGATGGATCAAGTTCAAGTGGTATGATTCCGTCTGTAATCTTTTCTTTCAAATGAGGGTTTTTAGTAGCGGTAACTGACTATGGAGGTATATTTGGCATGAAGCATTGGATTTTTCTGCTTGGGTGCGGACGTATGCATCATACCTTGAAGAGCGTCTGGAGTGTTTCCGCGTATTGAAGTATGATGTCCAGAAAGATCACTCGGTATGAAGTTTGAATTGGAACTTTATGTGTAAGCAATGTAATTTTTAGGGTAAACCAACTATTGTTTAGCATGCGCTTTCTGCATTGGTTTTAACATGTTAACTTATGACAACTCAAAAAGAAAAGGAATGTAGCCCTTCTCTTCTGGCGTAAGGACTCATAAACCCTGGCCATGTTATATTGGTTTCATGTTGTTTCTATTCTCTTTTCATATTATGGTCAGTTTTGTTATGCTGTTTGGAATAAAGGGTCTGATATATTTGATACATTTTCCCCAGAGAACTAAGGAACTTGATACCCCAGACTTACTAAGGCAATTACCTGCCTTGCAACAGCTTCTCTCTCGCCTTCTTGATTGTCAGGTGTGAACCCATGTTTTTCCAGTAATCATGCTTTATCCTCTTTGAAATTTATGTGCCATCGTCATCTTCTTTTCCTCTGTGTTTCAACCTTTATTTTTTTCTTTCTTGTCAGGCTATATTGATTGATTGAAGTTGTATTTCTTGTAATCTTATTGGTTGTGGTTGTGTCGTTTTGGTTTTGTTCTGTTGAAAATTGATGGGAATCTTTTCCAGCAATTTTATGCATCTCACCCTTATATTTAATAAAAGCATATGTTTCTTCTGTGGAATCATGTATACATATAAAGATCTAAGAATTCCTTATAATTACTGAAAAACTGAAGGTGTCCTATTTTGCAGCCAAAGGAGGGAACTGTATGTAATTGCTTGATTCAGTTTGCCCTGTCAATGGTAAGAATGATCAAAACCTCTAAGAATTAAAATAAAAAGGACAAAAGAAAAAATAAACTAGCTTAATCTAGTACCATTTCCAACTAACCTCCTTACGGTGTTCCTCCATCAGGTTGCAGGTGAAAGTGCCAAGTTGTATGCTGCAATTACTGATGGCAATGTCAATTTATTAGACAAGGTGGGTTGTGCTTTTTCTCTGTGCAACATGATGGGCGGTTCCTAGCTTCCAAGAAACATCAATGTATCACTCACTTTATTTTCTGGCAGTTCTTTGAGATGCAGCACGATGATGCAGTTAGAGCACTCGAAATTTATAAGAAGTCGAGAAGCCAGGTATATGTCATCTATGATACATTGCTTATGTTGTCATAATATTGGTTCCTTGAAAGATCTTGTATCAAATTTATATTCAACATTGGAAACTTTATGTTACTGCAGGAAGAGAGGTTATGTGAGTTCTTTGAGATCTGCAGGAGCTTTAACTTTGGACGGGCGCTGAAATTCATCAAAATTCAACAGGTTGGAGCTTTTAATGTGTCCATGTAGTTCTGTACTTGTTAGTGCCCTTCAATTGGGTTGTCAGTATGGGTAACATTTATAACTGCAGCCCCCTGCATCATTCTTGACTACCATGGAAGATTATGCGAATGACGTTCCCAGCAGTTCAACACTTCAACATATGCAAGTATGATGCTTCAACTTTTTGCTTTGGGGCTATCTTGTAATGCACATCCCCATAATTTGGCAAACTTATTTGATGCAAAGGAAGCTAATTTCCTTGTCAAGAAAATCAAATTGTTTTGCATGCTTCTTCTCTTGGCAAGCATACACCACTATAAGTTTATAACAGAATAGTTCTGTTGAAATTTGTCTCACACACACACAGAGGCATGCTTGCACAAGTACTTCTATAACTTCTAACTGCATTGCATTTTCACAATCAAACTTTCTTTCTTTTAAAACTTCTCAATTATTGAACTATGCCGCATCAATTATCATTCAAAGTGGATTATGAAAACAATTTGGGATCTTGATTTCCTTCATTAATCCTGAAGCTAATTAACAGCCATAACTTGTTTATCAGATCAATGAGGAGGAAGATGCTGCTCTCCAGGGAATTCATCTGGTAGAAGGTGATTTGTTAATTGACCATAAACAAGATGATAATGTAGAAGAAAAATCAAATGCCAATGGGACAGCCCCTGATCAGAGTGAGGCTGCTGGCACATCACAAGTGATTGATCTTCTGGTAAATGCTTATATGAGCTACTTTGTTTGGCACAAGATAGACGTTTTTTTATTTCCTTCTACTCATCTGATCTTGTCATTCCATTAGAGCTTTGATGAATTGCCCCCAGTAACATCAGAGTCAAATGAGCAAAATTCTCTCGCACTTGCAATTGTTCAATCTGGTAACTCGTTTTCCTTTCGTTTAAATTGATATATAGTAACATGAAGTGTCTTGGTGATATATTGTTCATTTCCTTCTACATCTTATCACATAAAACCCATCAGATTCCAAACCAGATGGTCTCAATTCAATAAGCTCGGAGTCTAGTTGGGAGCTTGCACTTTTTACAGCTCCAAGTTCTAATGCAGATGCAGTTTCAGCACCAAGTTCTAATGTAGCTTCAGCTGAAGAGACTAAGGTGGTAAGTCTTCTGTTGTCACGTCCTGGCACTTCTACCTAAGGGATGCCCCCTTGCTTATTTACATTCGAATTAGGCCAATTCAGTATGAATACGATCCCACTCCGATTATAAATAAATTCAGATTTGGATTAGGCCAATCCAATAACTCCAAGTTATAACATGTTGTGAGGAAGAATTACTCAGAAGTTTAGGGAAACATGTATTTGGTCACTTTTAATTCTGTTCTCAAATATATGCAGGCTGTTGGACTGGACAGATTGACACTGGATAGTCTATATGATGGTGCAATGGCAAGTACACCAAATCAGAATGGCTTCTACCACAGACAGGCACCCTCTAATCCTTTTGATGATGCCCCAATTAGTCCTTACCAATTAGTCCCACTTCCCCCAAACAACATGCAAATGGCTATGATGCCCCAACAACATGTACAAGGCCAAGTCCCATTTTATGGTCTCTATAGCAATGCAATTCCAACAGCCCCAACTAACTCACAAATGCCTTTCGTGACCCAACAAGAAGCTTTCATGATGCAGCAGCAACAGTTGGCCAACGTCAGTAATATTCCATCAAATTCTTCTGGCAATCCCTTTGCTATTGAGCAGAGTTATTCGCAACTGCCTCCAAACTCTTTCAATGGCTTCATTTAGTGGAGGATCACAGGAAATTGTGTGGTAATTAAACATTTCTACCCCAAAGGTTTGAGACATTTGCAGTGGAAGAAGCAGCACTCAGTGTCATGAACGATTTTGATGTTAGAAGACCAATTCTCCATTGAGTTTACTGGACAGTTGATCGGTACATAACCATCTTCTTCTAATGAGAAGATGGTTTGCATGAGTTTGTGGAAATACAATTAGTTGAGACCAAAACAAAAGAAAGTTGAACCAATTGGTCTCTCATCTGATGCCTCTCATGAAGTTTATTGTGGGTGAGATTGGCTGGAAATCAATCACCTGGCTAATGAAATGCAACCCAAGACCCTTTCCCCCTAAACCCCTTTTCTTTTTCTTCTTTCATCTTCTTCTTTCTTTTGGTCCTAAGAGAAGGGGAACTCGTTAAACTTCAAAAACAATAAAATAAAAAATACAACCATACCTTGTAAGTTTCATTTTTCTCACCCAAACTGTCAACAAAGAACTCCAAAAACTCATAAACCATCTTTCTAATTTTAGACCATCTCACTCTAAGAAGACCTACCATCAGGGATACAAAACACATGAATAAAATACAGAAATAATTAAGTCTCACAAAAATACAACAGAAAATCCTGGCTCGTTGAAGTTTGCTTGAGCCGGAGTTACAGGAACTCATGGTGTCCATAAACCTGCTTGAGATGAAAATCACATAACACAATTGTTCCTTTAGAAGAAGTTTAACTATACAACACAGAATGATGAAAATGGACAAGGGAAAAAGAAAGGGAACCTTTCCAAAAAGTCAAAACTGCAGAACTTCATGATTTGAGACACACCCAACAACTTGATTGCCTTATCTGAAGATATGAGAATGTGCAAAATGCATTTGACCAATTCCTCCATAAAATTTGAAGCTGCCAAGAAACCTGAGTCTGTTTCAAAACCAAAAATCCCTCGCCAACTCTAGAAGGTACCCTATCAGTATGTCAACCATAATCTCATGAATTACTGTTTCCTAATATATGCATATTATCCACAAATTAGGAAACTAGTAAAGGTAACTGGTATTGGCACTCCAAAAAAGTGATCATGTACTCCTCTATTATAACAACATAAGGGGAAAATTTCACTTGGAGAAGTGCAAAATAATACTTTTAGAGTGCCAATAACAACTCCTTAAGTAAATAATCATTTAGGGAAAAGGGAACTGACGCACTTCAACTCTGTTTGTACCCATTGCCTAAGAGTTCCTCAAGTTGAGTAAAAACAACCTATAAACCCACCTGCAAAATTATTCCAACATTTTATTACATGCCCCTGCAGAAGCAACCTTGAATGTAAACTGATAAGGAAAAGATAAAACAGAGGCTAAGTGTAAAGTATAATTCATTGAAATTCTGGTTAAATCTAGAGAGAAACCAGAAGAGAGGAGGAGATAGTGGTTTGAAAAGCTCACCATGCATCCAATGCAATGAAATCAATTTTCCACAACCAGACATACAACTGCAGGCACATAGCTTCAACTGCCTCCCGCCACCAGCATCATTCTCATGGAACTAATCAAAAACAACTTTTGGTCAATGCCGGAGGCAAAAAGTTTTAGTTTTTTTGGAGATGTGTTTTAGAAACAAAACTGTTACCTTGAGTTGAGATGAGTGACTGACTTGAGTTGTATAAACTTCACACCACCACTGCACACTACTTCGAAATATTTAGCATTTGGGATACTTTGTAAGCTAACTGAATTTGATTCCATCCAGGTTGACAAGTCGGGTCTCTGTTAATGAGCATCCTCAAGCTTGAACTACAGATTTAAACATAAATATGTTAGAAACTTCCACATAATTTGGTACCATCGAACCTTGAATTTTCATTCAAGTTATTGAACAAGAATACTTAGACCTAAGGCCTAATTTAAAGTACGCATGTGCATGCATGTGTATGAATATAAAGAATACTTCAAAACTCAGAATTTATTTGTTTTAACCCAAATAATATTATAACTCGTAGCTTTATTTCAACTGGTTGACTGATTAACTAAAATGAGCAAGGAAGAGAACAAACCTAATGAGAAATGAAAACAAACAGCCAAAGCATTCTTAATAAATATTTACATGATTCTTGATTCTAAAAGGTACTCAATCTGATGCCTCTGATGGAAACAAATCTTAGCAGGTTATCATATGGTTTAAATAATCAGATATCTTATTATTGCAATGTGCAAAATATTCACACACACAAAAACACTATTTCGTGGTTGGGAATCGAATTCCTATTATGAACATTAACTATAGCTTAGGAAATAAGAAAGAAATACATGCATCATAACAGGTACTTAAGTTAAATGAAAAGTAAGAGATACATCAGGAGTAGTTGATTTAAGATCCAAAGAAAAAATCGTACCTGTGATATTTGGAATATGTGAAATCTTGGGCCATTCTGCACCGCTCTCCTTGTTGCATCTCTCTTGTAAAAGGGGACAACCACTAATGTATATCTCTTTTAACTTGGTGAGACATTGTACAGCTTCAACTGTAGGTAGATACATCAGATTCACGCACCAAATTATACGTAGATACTCAAGAGATGCTAGGTTTCTCAGCCACTCTGGAAGAGCCTCCATTCCGTCAAAGGATAGTATTTCCAAACATGTTAGAGAAGTAAAGTGTTGAGCTTGTTCAGGCAGAGACTTGAGCTTAGGCCAACCCCACAAGCTCAATCTTTCAAGTTGTGATACCTGAAAAGTAGGAAATGAATGGAGCATCATCGAAAACCGACCAATTTCCAACTCCTTCAAGCTGGTGAGGCAGTGTGGGGATGCTAATCCACGGGGTAGACTTTTCAATCCAGCACAAAATGATATCTTCAACTCACGGAGGTGTGCGAGGTTGTCTAAGCTCGGAATAGTTTGTAGACTAGGACACCGGCTTATTGTCAATTCCTCAAGAGAGACAAGAATTTTTAGCCCATCTGGTAAATGCGTCAAGCGTTCACAACCATAGATACGCAGTGAATGAAGCGAGGTACAGGACTCTAGGCCAATCAGTGGACTTGTCCCATGAAAGCCCTCAATTTCCAGTTGACGAAGGGATGCAAAGCCATTTAAAGTTGGAACTGACTTTAGACTCCTGCAATACTTTACAGACAACTTCAGGAGAGACGTAAGAGCATGTGTGACTGGAATGAACTCCAGTCTAGGGCAGTTGTCTACAATCAACTCCTTAAGAGAGAGTGTGTGCAGCCCATCAGGCAAACTCCTAATATTATGACACTTAGAAACACACAGAGACTCAAGAGATGCGCAACAACCAAATACATGGGGAGCAATACAACTTAAATTCCCACAATCTCTTATCTCCAAATTTGCAAGGTTCTGGTTGTTTTTTAACATCACTTCTGGCAGAGAAGCAAGCCCCCTCACATTCTCTATTGTGAGAGAAGTAAGAGTTGTAAGCTTCTTGCTTATATTTTCAATTGGTTTGCTGCTATCCATAGAATCTATCTCTAGCTTTTGGAGAGATGGAAAATGACTGGGAACGCTTCTCAATTGATCACATTTCCTCAGGAACAGCTCCTCAAGGCAAGGAAACACCACTACTTCTGTTAGCGATGTTGCAGCTTCCATCCACTCAATTAGGTTCTTGGCATTATCAATAGTTAATGTTTTCATTGCAGGAAACAAACTAGTCATCATCCATGATGGAAACTTATCGCCCATAAAGTTGCGAATCTCTAAAAACTCCAATTTCGGGTGTGGTTGAAGGCCTTTTAGCACATCCTCATCGTTGTTGATGCTCAGCCTCTCTCCCTGCCATTCAAAGCTTAATTTCCATATGTTTGTCTTCTCAACTAATTTTGCTTTCTTTGCTTCTTCTCCATCTGTCACATGCTCTAGATTATAAAGAGATAATTTGCCTTTCAAATGCCTTAAGCCAGCCAACTCCTCTATTCCACGACCCATCTCCTTACCCACAATGAAAAAGGATAATGATTGGAGATTAGTTAGACGCCCCATCCTGACTGGAAATTTTTCACAGTCCCACTTAAAATAAATGTGCCTCAAACTTATCAAATTTTGCACTTCCTTTGGAAACTCTTCAAAGTTGAGACAATCCATCCTTAATGTCTGCAGATTATAAAGCTTGCCAACAGATTTGGGGAGCGATTTGATCTTTGTTTTGGAAACATCCAGATACCTCAAGTGCTTCATCTTTCCAATTGAAATTGGCAACTCATCAATATCAGCCTCATATAATTTTAAGACTCGTAAACCTTTAAAGCTCAGTAAGGCATTACCAAGAACTTCATCTTTCACAAAAACTGAGTGTAATTCATGACCACCTTTTTTTGCAAGTAGCACTGAGGTAGGAATTTCTGCCATATGTCGAGTCTGGTTGAAGTCTTTACTCATTGATTCTGATATATGCTTTGCAAGATCATGGAAAAGATGGTGCATCTTGCATTCAGTGATATTATCATGATCATCCTTGGTAACATCTTGAAAAAATGAGTTCTTGGATAGAATTCTAAAATACTTATCACCTATGTCCTCCATCTCTAGATTACCTTCGCTGGTAAAAGGGTGCAGCAACCCCTGAGCCATCCAAAGTTGGATCAAGTCATCCTTTTGAATTTTGAAATCTTTGCTAAACATTGAGCAATATGCAAAACATTGTTTCAAAGATGATGATTTTAATTGATCAAAACTCAACTTCAAAACTGATAATATTCTTTCTCCTCCTTCTGGTAAATCCCATATGTTACATTCTTGAATTGAGCACCATCCATCTCTCTTTTTAGAACGCATCATATTGCCCAAAACCTGTTCAAACAATAGTTTCAATCTTTATTAAACGACAATATGTTACAAACTGAAAGTAAAATAGAAAAAAAAAAAGAAAAAAAAAAGAGGAAATAAGAGCTTTATTAATTAATGAGTAACAAATTAATAAACATACCTTTGTCACTAATGGTACACCTACACATTTTTTAGCAATCCCCCTTGCAATCCTCCCTTCATCATTAGTTAAAGGAGCACTCCCATCTGGAAATGCTTTATCCTTTAATATGAGCCAACATTCTTCATTTGATAGTTTTCTCAAATCATGCCTAGGAAGTGTTTGCACAATTGATGCAACACTAACACTTCTGGTAGTGACAAGGATGTTGCTTCCTTTAGTATCTTGAACATTTGATAAACAACTTATCAAATTATCCCATTTTTGAGGATCATCATTCCAAACATCATCAAGCACGAGAAGATATCTTTTTCCTTTCAAATGTTCTTGGAGGTTTTCACATATTGTTGCCTTACCTCTTATCCCAGCCTTCTCTGGTTTAAGCTTTTCTAAAATTCCGCTTAAAATTGTGTTGACTTTAAAACGAGTAGATACACATATCCATATTTTTTCATGGAAGTGTCTTCCTATTTCATATTCATGATATATCAATTTAGCCAACGTTGTCTTTCCTAAGCCTGCCATTCCCACAATCGCCATAACGGAAAGATAATTCTCCTGATTATTGCTTGAGTTAATCAAGGTTTTAACTATCTCTGACACAACCTCAGCCCTTCCAACGATGTACTTCTCATCTCGATCGAAGCTGGAGGTGGTTTCCCTGTCAGCTCCTATGCTACCATCTTATTCAAACTCTCCAAAGATGTGTTGATTTTCTTAATTTTATGCGCCATTTTAAGACGAAAGGCAATCGGATTGGAGTACGAAAAGAAGTCGAGTACCTTTTTCTTCCTTTGGTTTTGCAGCTCAACCCTACGCCGCAGAACTTCATATTCGTGTTCATCTAACACATGATCAGCATCATGAGCTATGTCTTGAAGCTTCTTCACCCACATTTCCACAGCCTCGCTCCTAACGTGTGACTGTTCGGCGTCTCGTAGCATAGCTTGAGTCATTGCCAATGATTCACGCAGGGCTGCTAGCTCTCGTTTGGATCCTCGTACAAGACCGAATTCTTGACCGGCAAGCAAAGCCAGTTTCTTCAGTATTTCCTGGGCACCAAAGGTAAGAAACTCCGTAGCCATCTTTCTTTTCTTGCTTTCTTCCAGTACTGCTCAAGACAAGACAAAGAACAGATCAATGCTTCTTTTTTTTTGGTTCGATATACATATATGGCTGACTACTGATAATAATTTAGGAGTGGACCCAAGTCGTCGGTTTTGACTATATGGTCACTGAAATATACATTGCATGTGGATTATGGATAGGTTGTGGATAGATTCTGGATACTCTGTGGATAAAGTGAAAGTGAAAGTGAAAGGATATGAGAAAGTGACTTTAGAAATCTCCACTTGGGAATGGTAAAAACTTACACACTAGTCTTCTTCACTACAAAGAATTTACAATCTACAATAACTCGCTTTCAGAATATATCTGATATCATCACCGGCTTCTTTCGCACCGCGGCAATGCAATGAAGCTGTACACTTGGTTGCATCCTTTGTATCTTGAGCAGAGGGTACTCACCAATAGGATGAGGTTGGTACCGATTGATTTTTTGATACTCTAGCTAAAGATGTAAACCTTACTATTCGTTTTCAATAAAATTTATCATCGGTTGACCCCAAAAAAAAAAAACTAGCTAGTTGTTGAGGCCCAAAAAAGTCACGAGAAGCTCAAAGACATTTAAAGCCCAATATAACATATAATGTTGGTCATGCGTTAATTCAAACTGTATTTTGAGAATTAATTCATTAAATAAATAATAGTGGTCATGCCATGCGAAGCCAATAATACATTTTTCATGTGTCAATCACCTATCAAGCTCACATGAGCCCAAGTCATGTGGTTTACGGGGCTTGCATGAGGGATTGTGGTATTGAAGGTTACGGAGGTCCACAAGGCCTACAGAAGCTCTTGGATAATGGAGATTTTGGGCTAGCTACTTGGGAGCACCAAGGTCCAAGCCCATTACTTAGAGTTATCCAATGTGGGTGAGCAAATGAGATATTTTTCAAGCACTTCTTTTTACCCATAGGAAATAGTCATTTTTCAAATTCCTAGCTATACCCGTTGGAACACAAGCCTTTTCCAGCACTCCCTATTACCCACTGGAAACAAGCCATTTCCAGCGCTTCCTTTTACCCATAGGAAATAATCAGTTTATGGTACCTAACTTCACCTGCTGGAAAATAGCATGCCCCAGTGCTCCCTTTTAACCATTGAAAATAGGCTGGTTCCAGCACCCCCCTTTACCTATTGGAAATAAAAAAAAACCCTCACCCTCTATAAATTGGGAGGCATTTGCTAGGCAAAATCAACCTCTTTTGGTTGCTGCAAGCCTCTCAGCAACCATGAGAACTCACCTTCCTTCCTTCCTTCGGCTGCTGCAAGCATCCCAGCAGCCATTGACCAACATCTCTTGGTTGCTCAAGCACCCCAGCAACCATCAAACCACTTTCCTTCCTCTCTTCGGCTGTTGCAAGCATTCCAACGGCTATCCCAGTCATTCCTTAACCATTACAACCATGTTTCCTACTTTCTCACTCTTGAAATCCTCCATCTTTCTTATAAAGCCTCACCAAGCATAACTCCAAGCTTTTTCTTCCTCCTCATACCCTTCCAAGCTGTAAACACCATAACCTTCAAGCCTCAAGCTTTTCCTTCCACCCTCCCACCTCTAGAACTCATAAATCTCTCTAGAATCATAGTCACAAACACCACAGCCTTCAAAGTCTTAAGCTTTTCTTTCCTCAGTCATGCTCTTTGAAACCCCATTTATTTGACTGCTATAAACATCCCAATAACCATCACAGCCAAACAATCAAACCACCATAGCCATAACTTCAAACAATAAGTTTTCAACACCCAAACTCAAGCATATCAAACACCAAGCCAAGCACAAGCATTCTCATTTGCTAAACTTGTGGGTCTTTAGCTCTCACACTCCAAGCTCTCATGCCAAGGTCATACAATCTCAGTTCAACATTAGCAGTCATTTTCAACTCTTTGTCAAGCTGCCGGAAACGTCCGTACAAAACAAGCAGCCGCTGGAAAAATAACAAAGTACTCCCCTAGGACTTGCTTCTCCCTCAGGATACTTTGGGCCTAGTCCTCGTTAACTCAGAAAAAGGGGCAACGAAGTCTTGATTCACCACTCTATGGCGGTCCAAGAATCAACAAGCCTGGACGAGCCTTCCGACGGAAAAAGACCCCAACACTAGTATAAGAGGTACACGTTAGAATCTTGGTTAGGGTTTAGGGCTTTTGAGTTTTGATTGGAATTTGGGCTTTTGAGTTTTGATTGCTTGGATATACAATTCTCCCATCCATGTATAACATTATTTGTAAATGAAGTTTCTGTTAATCCACTTTGGTTGTCAATTAATTGTAATATTTTAGTTTTGGCAAACTTAAAAGTCAGCTTTGCTTTTGGGGTATGGAATCAAAAATCTAGTGCTATATTTCATTCATATATCTTTGAGTAATTGTTTGGTATTTTTAATGGATTTGAGATATATGTGTGTAAGGAAGTGCTTCTTGTTACATATTTGTAATTACTGAAAAACTGAAGGTTTGTGCCATTTTATAGCCAGAGTTTCGTGCAATTTTCGTATAATAAGAGCATACTTAATATAGAAAAATTCCATATATATTGTAATCTAAAGAACCCATAAACATACTGCAATCAAGAAACTGACAGTGAAAAAAAGCACATTTATACCACAAGTTCAAAATGATTATTGTGACAAAATACTTCAAAATATTGTTGTTTCAATCGTAAAAATGTCTTGATATGGTTCAATAGTACAACATTATTGATAGAAGCTTACGGTACCTACCCGGAAAATGTACCTTTGCCTTCTCCTATCTCATAACAAATATACAAAAAGTGTTCAATATCAAAATGTTTAAATAGATCTTTACCACACAAAAAATGTGTAATTAGATGCATTCATTAATCTTGTGGTGTTTCTCAATGCTTCCATCTCTCTTGTGCTCCATGATAATGAAGACTACAGTGGTGTTTTCTTACATCAACCTCCCTCTCCATCTCGCTTTTGATGAACTTCCCACATTCTTTTCCCATCCTCACTAAAGACATAAGGCTTAGATATGAGAAATGGAAAATAGCAAACAATCCAAACAGTCCAAATAATAAACATATAAACATCCATATGCAAATAAGGACATGCTCCTACTCTGTCTTCTTATAAATTTTGCTCAATACTGATCTTATAGCACATATTTTCAAAAGAATAAATGCTGATGATAAGGTAATGATCTTATCTAATGCTTATCACTTATACTAAAGTTTTGCTGGGCTAACTGGAAGTTGAAACATATGTTGCGAGGGTATGATATTCAGAACAAATGAGCAAAGTGATAATGCAGCATATATATGTTGAAATTAACTATCAATATTCCCAATTCCCAGCAACCTATATTATGCTCTATCATCGAAACTAGTACACAAGAGCCCGGGAATTCTCAAAGTCAAATAAGCAGAACACATCGAAACCAAAAGACAAATAAGCAGAAATCTAAAAATCAAGAAAGACCCATGAATTGATGAAGAGCATACTTAAACAGAATGTCATACAACCAGGTTTTGCAAATCTACAACTAATAAAATAAAGCCTAATTAGAAGTTTAACAACCAAGATATTTGAAAAAGAAAAACCATCCACAATTAAATAAGGCTTCCAACTTGTACAGTTTTCTATGTAGATATTTTAAAACTAACTTCAACACATGTTTCTCAATTTCTTTCAACAATTTGTTTTTAACAACTAGTACCTAATTTCTTTTTACCATGTTTCTCAATTTCTGTTTCCTTTTTATTTCTTATGGGTCAAATTTGTCAGGTCTGCATATTTACAAAGAATTCCTAAACTAATGCACAAGATTACGAAGATAAGATTGCAAAGAATCATCCTAACCCAAAACATTATACCCAAAAACCTAAATGATGCAAGAGTTCAAAATGTGAAGAGGGAAAAGTTTTACACAGAAGCCCTAACTTTAAAAAAGAAAGAAAAAAGTATGTGGAAAAACATGACATTTGAGTTTGAGAGTATGGAGCAGTTTCAACCAAAGAGACAGGGGAAGATACCTGTAGCTGAGAGAGTGGAGAGCAGCTTTAGAGAGCCCAAGCAAGTGATTTGGAGGATGAGACAACTTTTCTCTTCCTCTAGAAGTCAGGAAGCTTCCAATACCCATGTAACAAATAAGGACAATATGGGTAGAGTGTGGAGATGAAGATGGGGAGATCTGAGGTTTTTATTCCGATTGTTAAAAAAGAGAATAAAACATGTAATAGATAAGGACAATATGGTTAATCCAAAAGGTTAACTAAATGGTACCGCCTGCTTCTTAAGCCAGCAGTTTTTAAAAGCAGCTGATGCCTCTAAAAACCGCTGTTTCTGACCATTAATTTTTGGGGGAAAAAGTAGCATACCCGTGTTTTACACCACACAAAATTTAAAATTTTCGGATAGAATCTGTTTATTTTAAAAGCAATGTGTTACCAAACTAGGCCTAGCAATTATGCAGAAGACCCCACAAAACAAACACAAGAGAGCTCAAATGAAATGGACATTCATCAAGTAACAGTTCCATTCATATGTAGAAACCCTAATATCTTAAAATTCATCATATCAATACATACTATCCACAAATGATTTTATCAACTCTGCATTTACTTGTAATTACCAATCCTGCATACATGACAAAGTCCATACTCCTTCAGATCACCACCCTGATTTTTCCCACATTGTTGTAGAATATGACCACAACCACACTAACGTTGGAATGAAATAGAATAAGAGCCAGTGTTTGGATCTTTAACAGATTTGAAGTTGTCCACGCTCATTCCAAAACGGCCCAACAAAGAGTTACCCATATCTTTCAGCTTCCCTGCTCACATATAAAAATTTCAAATGCTTAGTCTACAACAGATTTGTTTTCCTTTTGAGAAACATTAAATTGTAGTGAAACTGAGGAAAGGACACAATTATACATTACGGAGGACAATATGCCAGCTAACAGCCAAGTCTAAAACTTAACAGTGAAGTATGCCAAAAACATGCAACATATACAGTCTCTGGCATAGCAATTTAGAAACATCATATCGACTATCACCAGAAAACACTGAATATGTGAAGAACTGTCGCAGACATGAGATAGAAGAATTATGATCTACATGCTCCTATTAGTATTAAGTTGACATCATCCACGAGTATAAAATATTTGCTCGAACGCTCCTTCAACAGCAACGTCTTTCAGAAATTATGAACAAGTTCCAGCAAAAGGTTAGTGTTCCATAAGCAAAGATCATATGACATTAAAAATTTAATCAGCAGGCTGATTTCAGGATTTGTTTTCTTTATTTCATATGTTAGTCTTGCATTATGTCACAAAGTCAGAAAAAAATAGTTACACTGGTCTTTGGGAAAGTAATTAATTGACTTCGCATAAACGCACTGCCTAGTTGCTCCCATAATACAGTCTAATTGCCCTGTCCTTTGTTCTTCGTTTATAACTAGAGGAAAGAAGTCATGTGAAGGCTATACGAGTGGTCTATCTAAGACGTGGATTAGGTTTTTTTTTTTTTGGGCATTGCTCATGGCACATACAGCTGTTGGGAACAATTTGATCAAGTGGCCACAAGAAAAAGAATATAAAACCATAAACCATGAAACTATAAACAAGATAAATGCACAACAAAATAATTTATCCAACTTACCAATCATCTATTCTACCAAAAGAAAAAGAAAAAGAAACTTACCAATCATCTCCTCTTTCATCTTTTCTCTCTTTTCTTCAGCCAGCGGCCCCAGGCGACGAATGGTCTTCTTGGCTTGGTCATTTGAGGGATCGAGTTCCAAGATTTTTTTCATATCTGCAAAGTAAAAACAAAAATTTAGCAACACATATGAGTATAGAACTACAAACCCACATACATGAGAGGACAGAAGTTGGTTCTAGTGAGCTGAAAAAGGGGCAAGAATAGTGAAGTACTGTCCAGGAAATTGAACGATGAACTGATGAAAGATATCACCTTAGACTGCAGTACAATGGTTAAAATTAAAAAGTGGTATTAAATCCAAACTCACCAGCAATAGCCTCTTCGAAATGCTCTAGTTTTTCATGTGCTTCTGCTCTTCTAAGCAGAGCTTTCATATATGAAGGATTTAGTTCTAGCGCTTTTGTGCATTCCTTGATTGCATCCTCATATTTTCCCTGTCATATTAAGATTCCAAGATTGATAATAATTTAGTATTAAGAATGCATAATCAAGAAGTTACTGGTGTGCTGGAGTTATAATGAAAAGAATGAGAAGCCTTTTAGAACCACATAACAAGACAAGCAAACAGGGGAAAAACTAAAAGTGAACAGCTTCTTACAATAAATATCAGCAGTTCTACTCAGTCTGGACATAGGAAGACATGTGATCATAAGATTTGGTAACCATTGTCATCATTTATAACATTCAATATTAGAATTTGTTGCCTCTCACAATAAATCTTAATCCTAAAAATGAATCATCCTTAGAAAGTCCCCTAATAAATCCAATTTCTTTTTATTTAGAGCAAAAAATAGCTATTTTCGCTGAAACATATCTATCATCCATTTCAAATTCAAAGATTAATAAAAGTGTCAAGTCAAATGATGAAGGAAATTGATCACATCCTTGCTCATTAGACCAATCTATGAATCACTTGAAGTCACATACTTTTACCGGAACAACTTGCATGCTCCAACAAATACTACCAAGAAAATAAGGTTGGGAAGGCAAATAGCATCCACTTTGAAATAGTAAAAGCAACATCATGTCAAGTATATCAAAATAAATTTTTCTACATATTTGGTGTCATAGCTTGTCCAATATGTGGACATCAAAAGGGCATTAGGGGCCAGAAAAATTGTAGGCCAATTAAACAAACTCTAAAAGGACAGGAAGCATGCATCAGTGCATGCAACTCTGTCTAACATGAAGTGGAACCATCAAGAATTTTCTAAAACATAGAAAAACTTGAACTTGTGCCAACAAAATATGAATGCATTAGGCATGTGTATTATTATGTCAATATCAATTTATCAACATAGAAGGTGAAAATCAAGAAAAACAATGAAAATTTTCAGGATATTTCCACAGATTTTAACCACATAACATACCAATTTTGAAAAACATATTGCACTGTTTGCGTGACATATTGAGCGTAATTCCACAGATGATGGCATGTCAGGCGCAATGTGTAAAGCAAGCCCATACTGTGATAATGCCTCTTCATATTGCCCACTGCCAAACAGTCTATTGCCTTCCATTTTCACATCATTTGCTTGTTCAAACGCTTTCTGCTTCAGATGCAACCAGAACAACTCAATCAAATTTATTTTAACAGGAACACGAGAATCGTAGCTATAAAACCAGATTACCGATCACATAGGAAACACTGCATATACAAAGAGAGAAAAAACCTAATTGGGTTTTATTGTAAGCAATTCACAGTAAGATTTCAGATTCCACAACAGCCTAATATGACAATTTACCAAAAATAATTCATTTTTTCAAAATTTGTGCAAAATTGAACTCACTGATCAGCTCTTCAAGTAACAATAAACAATTGATTCACATTTCGATTAGGAATTAGCAGAAAGATAGCATTCCGGAGAAAGTACCTGTTTCAATGCGATGTCGTCAGCCTGAGAGAGACTTTGCTGTTCCTCTTGTTGTTGGGTTTCATCGTCGTTGTCGCTACCGTTGGATCCGAGTTCTCCGTCACTGGCAGTTTCGAAGCCATCGGAGGCATTTCTGTTGGTGGAAGACGAGGGTTTCGGGGGATTCAAATCGCTATGCTTTTCTGTCTCTTCTTCTTCGATCAGCATCGCTTTGTCAGGAAATTGATTTCTTCCACGAAGAGCAACAGAAACGGGAAAAGGTGACGGATTTTGGCTGCGACGATAGCTTTTCTTCTGCAAATTTTATATACGAAAATGACTCAGATGACTTTACACTCCGTGTTTCCAGAAAGCTCCTAGTTCCACTAGCCCCTGCCAATTAGCTCTTTTTGTTTCTTTTCGTTTTTGCTCTGTTTTTTTTTAACATATAGTATCGCCGCGCGGCTATACTCTGGTAATTTTTTCCCAAAATAGTATAGCCGCGCGGCTTTACTCGGGTCTTTTATTTTTTTAAAATACTATAGCCGCGCAGCTTTACTACGGTAATTTGTTTTTATAAAAATAGTATAGCCGCCCGGCGATACTCGGGAATTTTTTTATTTTAAAAAATATTATAGCCATGCGGCTATACTTATCTTGACACGTGGGCACCTAGGAGCCTAGAGGTCCCTTTTTTCAGTAAATAGTATAGCCGCGCGGCTATACTGATTTTGACACGTGGGGATCCCTTTTTTCCTGTAAATAGTATAGCGTGGCCGTCCGGCGTGTCACTACGGTTTAAAAAAAAATAGTATGGCCGCTCGGCTATACTGGTTTTCGCATGACAAAAATGGAGGTAGTTAGATGAACGGTTTGAAGAATCTTTGGATATGTTCCATCAATATGCAGTGCCCTTATCGGACGTTGATGATTGTTGTGTCGGTGCATAATACCAATCCTTATGTTTAAATTACTGTTAAAACAAGGATTAAAAATGTCATAGTTAGCGGAAAGCAAAGGACTCAGAGGATCATAATCTGCTAATGATTAGAAAACCATTGCTTTCACATTTTAATTTTAAAAAAGGGAAGATAGAGATTAGAGAGGAATTGTTGACTGTGATGAGTCACAAAGGATGGGAAGGGAAGCATGAACATATGCAGATTACTGTTGGGAAGCATGAACATATGCAAATCCTATCATTCCTTATTTTATGAACATTTCCAATCCAACTGCTGAAAATTTTGTCCAAGCTCATCTAGTATGGCTGTTCTAATATCCATCTCAACACCTGCATTGCTGCCACAATCATTTAGGAGCATGTTCTTTCCTAACTGCTCAGCTCAGCATTTCAAACAGTAAGATTTGGCTAGATTAAAGAAAGTGAGGCCAGACAAAGGATCAAAGGTATTTGAAACTAATAAGAATCTGGGCTAACATGAGCAGGCATTGCAGATCAGGAGAAGGCAGAGGAAGCAAGGAGCCATCAAAACACAATCGAAATTCAAAGGAAATTGACAGAATCCAGAGTGAAATTCAATTCTAGCAGTCGGCTTTTCTTTTTAACAAATCATAATCAGATATTGAAATGCAAAACTTTGTTTCTTTCTAGACATGGCCTAAGATGGAATATCCATGCTCCATATTCAACCTGACAAGTACAAGTGATAGGTGAAACAGTTACTTTCAAATTTCACGTCAAAGATTTTGAAACAATGATGACCTTAAGCACCTGCTTGAGCATTTCTAGTTTGCTGCTGTAGCTCTTCATCGGCATTTCTCATAAACTGGTCCCAGCCGCTCCCCGGGCTAGTGTCCAAATAATCATATGGCACTGCAGTCTTCAGACCTGGCCTTACAGCACACTGACCCTCCACAATTCTGAAGTCCACACCATCATCCCCTAGTTCACTGCAATTCTGATCCAATTCCTCCCATGAAAACATGAGAGGCAGGGTAAATGCACCCCACGGGTTAAAATCCAAAACCTTAACCCGATTATCCTCTGTCACATAGACATCAAAGGTGTAGTTTTCCGATTCAAATCTCGACATCAAATTTTCCACAAAAAAATCTTCAATCAACACTCGAAGACTCTCTTTCTTTTCAAGCAGAGCAGGGTAAAAAGTAGTGACTTCACGTTGGGAAATTCCAACCAAATTCTGATTTCGTACAAAGCAACGCAACTCCATCTCTGGCTTAAGGGACTGGTACCATTTACGAAGTGCAAGGAAGAAACTCTTAGGTCTTGATGAGGTTTTGTCACAGCACGAATCGTAGGCATGACACAAGTCATGGATCAATGAATCAGATGAGCGTAGCAAGAGGGCAATCTCACTGAACGAAGAGCATTTGAGTGTCCCGGTTGTGCTGATCCAAGCAGAGTCTTTTGGTGCACTCCAGTTGAGCTTGGGGAACACAGAACCTCCAAGTGATTCAATTGATTCCTTGACCTGCAACTCAAGCTCAGGGAAAGAAGGTGGCAATGGAGGCTGCTCTGACTCGTCATCATCAGACCCTTCTGATACTTGATAGTCATCTTCCTCCTCTGCATTATGAATTCTATTGGGAAAAGCATCTTCATTTGAGATTGAAACAGGGAGAAGGAAGGGCCCCGAATCATCTAGCAGGTATTGGACAAAGGATTCTGGAAGTTCATGAATCCGAGTTTTGATAGACAAAGATTTGAATTTAGGATACCATTCCTGTATCTGGCATCGATTCACTTCTTCTTCCTTCATTTTGTTGCTCAGCGTATAATGCATCATAAATTCACAAACACTTACCTTATACTACGATTACCCAAACCAAGAAAAAGCCCTAATTCGCATTCAATCTCCCCAAAACCCTAATTACTCAAAATTGAAGCGATTATCATTACCAAATCAGCTTAAAAGCAATTCAATTTTGAACCTCTGATAATCAAGAAAACTCACGGATGTGTATATGTATGTTTTGTACCGTCTCTTCGGGTTTTACTTCTTTCTCCAAGTTAGTGCCCTTCAAATTCTTGACAAAAACCTTTTTCTTCTTTGTTCGTCTTACCCGATTCTCGGGCGAGTATCCGATCTCCGGTTGGCCCCGGTCACGCTTTTCAGATAGAGAAAGAGAGCACGAAGTCACTGTGATAACGGACGAAAAGCAGGAGCCTTTGCTCTCGTTTATATAGTAGTTACAGGATGTAGGCAGGCGGCATGCAGTAGTTACCACCAAAAATCGTTTTATGCCACTTGTACAAATTGTGTTATATAAGGAAAAGATTTGGGCAAGAGTTGTTTTTAGTGAATAAGATTATGTCTTCTTCATCTATTTTAGTGAATTAATTTTCCATTAAACTGATTTTTTTAGAGGCCTCGAGGAATACTTTATTGATAATCAAAATCAAAATCAAAATGGGGGAACATAAAGCCGAACCCTGATTATAAACATTACTACATAGTAATTCCTAAATAAGATCTGGTGGTTCCTCAAACCACTCCACCCTTTTACAATTTGATAAAGAAAAACGAGCTAATTTATTCGTCACGTTATTAACTTGTCCATTAAAATGTTAAACAATGTCATAAAAATGCATCATATTTGTCATTTGAAACCTTATTTTGGGGTTATTTGATTAAGAATTTTTAAGGTGGGACATGCGTATTAAAGGAATCCTCACATGTAAGTAAACACATGAAAAGTCAGGAATGTAAGGGGGCGTTTGTTATCCTATTCAAATAGGGAACTCAAAAACTTTGATTTTTCTTAAAAACAAGGAGTTCTTAAATCTATTTCTAAGATTCAAAAACTTGTTTGGTATGCAACTTGAAAATTGTTTTCAAATCTTAAAAATTTGAGAACTTGTGGGTTGTTAGAAAAAAAACTGAAAAAACAGATATTTTTTGTTTTTAATAATTGGGGTGTTTTTTTAGTTGTTCTTGAGTTTGAGTTTTTAAAAATAGGGCTACCAAACAGGTTTTCTTTGATTTGGACTCAAATTCTATTTTTGAGTTTTAAAAGTTGAATTCAAGTTGAATACCAAACAGCCCCTAAATCATTCCCTCTTCTTATTTCCATTACTTGTAAGTAAACGTACCATCAAATAAGAGAAAATCAAGAAGTTGAGTCTCAAATCAGTAAGAAGTCTTCATCAACAAAATTCCTAAAATTAGGAGGACATACAAGGAAAACAGAAGTTACTTATGGCCAATTAATCACCAAGACCATGGGCTGATGGAAACTCTATCTATATACCTCTTCAGAAAAAAGAGAAAGGGACATTGAACACAACACCAGAATTCTACTTATTATTCTACACTTTTCAATTCCTAGGCTAGATTTTACTTTTTCAACCACTTAGTGTAACAAGGTCTTCAATTTCTTAATGTAAGTTTATTTTCACAAACTTTAAATTACATTTATTGTTTTAAGATATGGTTAGAGGTGATAAGATAACCTATGTGGTGGAATATGGACAACCCCCTATAAATAGAGGTGTTGGGAGGCCTCCCTAATCATCCTAAGAAACCAGATAATAGAGCAAACTTGTGCTCCCCTTACCACCTAAGAACCCATCCATTTCTCTCTCAAAGGTGACCACCAATCCCTTGGGGCTTGTTAACATGGAAAATCATGGGGGCAACTTTTATAGATTCGTGGTAGAAATTTTGTGTTTCGTTCAAAAAGTATTTGAGGCTCGTAAGTGCAAGTAAGTTGTCGATTGCTTCTGCTCGGTAATCTCTATACACTACTAAGTTTGCAAGCATTTTCTAACACTTTCTAACTTTGGGTAATTAAACTATTTCAAGGCTCATTCTATTTCAACGTAATTAATTAACTTTTTAATTAATTTTTTCCTTAACCTATTAATCTAATTAATTGGCTTAATCGTTGATTTTGTCATCTTCCATTATTATTCAAATTACGAACTTATGGTCTATTGGGTTCTAATTAGCAAGGCCGTGGGCGATCTCGAATTCTTTCTTTATCGATTGTGAATTAAAACTCCCTTTTAATTACAGCTTTAATGAGGACCTAGTTACGAAATGTCCTTAGGGCTTCCACAAACCATGAGTGATGTCTAGCAACATGTCACGGCTACCCAAGCTAATATATTATATATTAGGAGAATCCATTTAGTTGGAATTACAAAGCAATTCAATCCTTTTTTATTTTCCAATGTTCTTGATCTCGTTAATAAGATATGAAATTCATCTCAAATCCCTAACGTGATCGCTCTTGGCTATATGATTTAATATGAACACAATTAGAAGACTATTTCTTAATTGAGCTCTAACTCCGGCCGGGGATTCCCAAATCATATCTAAAAACATTCTCTCCCTTTTATTAGAAGTCGAGATCCTTTGTCGTACACTCACTTGCCTATATGGACTTGTCGAAGATCCCGATGTTACCTTGAGCCGAGCCCAGGGATGAGCTCAACCTTACGATACAATCAGAGACTGACTACGCATCCATAAGGAAACCATGGTGTCTCGGGTCTAAGGATTAATCTTGCGTTAATGCAACTAATGAAATCTTGTTTGACATGATAGTAAAACTTCCATACAAGATTTCTAGTTTGATCAAGTTCAGTGAACTCATTCTCTAACGAGCACCTACACACTTATCTCAGTGTCCATACACGAATGACTCAAGAGTAGTCATCCTCCTAGTTGAGCAGATATAGTGCATAATGATCTTTGCGACAATGCCCAGTTGAATGATCCTATGACCGGGAACATTTTGTGTATGAGTTATAGGAAAAGGTCTCTTTGCATCTAACCTATTTAGATAGGTTCAAGCGAATTGAGAGGTTGAGATAACTTAAGTGTTGGTGCCTCTAGTATTATTGTGCTACGAACTTACGAATACAACGGTTGTGTTAAGTGATGTTTAATTATTAATTAATTACCATTAAGATAAGACATAGTTGTCCGAGGGTTCTGTTGAGCGACACTAGGCCCGAGGACAAGTCCAGAGTTTATGGACACCATCTTGAGCATCCGGTCCATGGATAAAGCCCAAGCAGCCTGCTCAGAGAGTGTCTTTGCCAGGGCATACCACAACTATGAACAAAAGGAAAATACACAATGTCAGTAAAATATAATTCTGAGATAACTTGTATAATTTGGTATTTAATTGTTTTTTCGTTATAGGGAGAAATGTTGTTCACCCAATCTACATACTTTTAGCACTCATTTAAAAATAATAATAATAACAGATTGGTCATAACAATCCTTCAAATATTTCAAAAATACGTACCCAAAAATCCTAACATATTGAATATATGATTATAGCCACCTAGCCATGTCCCTAACAAAAACTAAAAGGTGACCGACTAGCTATTATCTAGTGATATTTCTCTTCTCAATATTGAAAGAAATCCGTATTCGAATTCTTCTCCGCCATTAATAAAAATAAATAAACAATCAAAACCAAAGGTGACGTCTAGCTAGACAAAGAAATAAATATGAAGATAGAGGCCAAAACCTTCAATTTCCTGCAAAATTCCTGATCACTCCATGATTTCTCATCCACATCCTTCTCAGAACTAATGTTCTCTCTCCAAATTGCTGCAGTCAAAGAAGAAGTGAACACAATCTTCTCCACAGTCTCTGTCTGAGCACATGCTTCCACAACATTAATTGCTCCTCTCACCTCCAAATCCACCATTTTTTCCTAACCAGTCCATAAAAATGGAGTTAGTATAATGAAAGTAAATTTTAAAAAAATACTTATAAATATGAGTTTCACCAAAATTACAACTCACATCATATCCATCTGAACTGTCTAAACAGCAGAACATAGCAGAGCAACCCTTCAAAGCCAAAAGAATGCTATGGTAGTCCAAAACATCCACAACAAACACTTCCAATCTCTCTTCTACTTTCTCCATCTCCCTAATTCTCTTCTGAATTTCTGTTTCCCCTGCATCAAACCCTTTATAACTCAGGTTCTCTTATAACCTAAACCTCAAGAAAGAAAAAGCTTACCATTCTTCTGGATGGCTGCGTGGACTGTGAAACCTCTACCAAGCAATCCTTTGAGAATCCAGAAGCCCACGTAGGTTGAAGCATCAAGAACACAAACGATGGGTTTTTCGTTGTCCATTCGCGCTCTCTCAGTTTTCGTTTTCGTTTCAAGTTGTGGCTTCCATACCATCTCTGCTCTTATATAAGTTGTGAGAGGGATTCAAGGGGGCAGAGGTTGGTGAACTATTTGTTACACGTTCCCATCTACTCACCATCTTATGTTGTCAAGACCCTTTTAGCTTTGCCGCATGCTCCTTATTTTTATATTTTGTCTTTTTGTGCTGCCTCATACCAATTCAATTCGAGTGAATTCAAATAACAATTATAATACTCAACTTTACTAATAATGTTATACGGACCAATTTTTTTTTTTCATACAAGCGATAATTTATTAAAACTCATCGTCTAACTCATTGCATTAATTAACAGCTTACTGTAATATTGATTGACTTTGTACGATACTAATTGATACAATAAGTACATATAATATGTTACCCATGTGTTCTGTTTACGAACCATCCCTTTCTTCTCAATGTTAAAAGAGACCCAAAGTTTGATTGTCCCCTCCTTCATTGATTAGAGAGGAGTGATGGTAGAAAGATGGGTTGATTTATGATAGGTTCAGAGTTTCATCAATTCCAATGTAATAAAGAAAAATAGTCAATCACAATAGTTGGAGTGTATGAAACAATCACAAAGTTATAAAGTTATAATTTTCAGGAATCCTAAATTTCTAGCTATAAGGAGAGATGAAAAATCACCTACATAGCATCATTTTGACATCCATGATCAGGGACGGACTCTAGCATTGCCCAAAATAACATACGAAGCTCACACGACCTTCCCCATTCATGCCTACCCCTTCACGCAACATACATAACTCTTCCTTGTAGTAGATTTGTACGTAAGGTAATTAGACGAACAAATGAACCAATAATACAACTATTCGTAACTCTATAATTGCTTTTGCCAAATTTCTAAAGGTAGGGACCGCCGTTATAGATCTCAAGCACCAGGATGCCAAAACATAAGAGGACAAAAAAACAGTAATTCGTGGTTTCCATTAATTCAGGTAATAAGGAAGAAGGGTAGGTTTCACAAGTACCCAAAATCCCTCGCATGCATGTGTTTAGTTGTTGTACAACTCCAATTCCTAACGCTTCATATGCTTGCGTGTGCCGTAATCCGATACTTGGGGGATGTTTTGGATCCCCAAAACTATCCAATGTAGGTGGACCACGTGGCATGCGCAAAATACGTTGGAGTTTTTTAACTTGCTTCCGTTTTATAACCAACCAACCAAGGCAGGACACGTCATATATGAGCACAAGGCAGGCATTGTGGGATTCCTAGGTTGAATTGAATGGCAAAAGGTGCCATTTTCATTATTGAACAAGAGATTTGACAGCTGCCAGTCAAATGAAATATAATTCTTAAGAAGAATTTCCACGAAAGAATGACAAAGGAAATATAATTCTTCAGAATTTCCACCCAAGTGTTGTGAAACATAAAACATTAGGGCCTCTTTGGTGAGGTGGTGGATTATTTATAACCATACCCTAAACATATAACGTGATTCATAATCATAGTTAAATGTTTAGTGGCCTAAAAACAACGTGATTGGATACTAGGACATGTAATGGCATATTTTAGTTAAACCAGCCCTTTAATCACATATAAGAAAAGAAAAACATTGCATCAAAAGATTCGTGGTATTCTTTCCAATCCAATTACCTAATAATTCAATCCAATCTCAATCATCAAACATGACATAATATCATTGTCGAAAGAGTCATTCTTACTTGCGTGCAAATTACAATTTGATACATTGAAAAACTTAGATTTGTCTAAAAGGAGAAATGACTCATACAGGAAGCAGCCAGGTATTATCCTGAAGCAGCTGTATTGACATTTACATTTGAGGTATTGACCAATTGGTAAATTAATTATACATGCAAAGACTCTAATAAGAATTTTTTTATGAATGACCCTCACATCAACAAAATTAGCTGCTTGCAACAACAGGACTGGTTCTATTCTATGTTTTAAAAGGGAACACGAACCAAAATACTGGTTGGGTTATAAAATAGGGCACGTAACTCGACATTTTGGAAAGACAGTTGTGTAGTCGTTCAAGTTATCTAGAACCATGTAGAAGAAAAATAATAATATTAACAACAATAAGAAATAAATTGGTGGAATGAATGCTAAGTTGGAGAAAAATAGTGCTATGTCGTATAAAAATGTTAACACATGTGTTATATCGTTATTGGCCAGATATAACAAAATAGTGTCATCTCCATTTCATGAAAGTTTTTCTCGTCAAGCAGAGCCTTCAAGGAGCCATCAATTTCAAGCCAAGCAAACATGTGTGGAAACATTCCTCACTAGGCAATATCTAGAAATCTGATTGATTAAGAAACCCAAAAAAGGACAATAATAGTTTTACTTAAACAGAAAAAGCATTTCGTCTTGTAAGTTTTGGTCACCGACAATCAACCAGTAAAAAAAAAGTCGTTTGTGCTGCTGTTTGTTCATGTTATTAATAAAGCTGGATTTTAATTCTCTCCCCAACAACACATTACCAACATACTACCAGACTTGATATGTGGTAAATGAAGGAAACCTGAAAGAAGCATACTATAATTTCAGAATTTGGATCATACTATAATTTCATGAAATTAAAAGGGTTAATTACAATTTTGGTCACTGGGGTTTAGCTCGAAATCAATTTTAGTCACGGTGATTTCAATTTTCCCGATTTCGTCACTGTACTTGCAGTTGTTAACAAATCAAGTCCAAGCCTTCATTTCTGTCAGTTTAACAGGGGCTTTATTGTCCTTTTGTCCCAACCCACCATTAGAAGCCGTGTAAAAGCTCATTTCCTAGTCTAAAAGCTTAGAATCTGAGAGCAACATAGTCTGAGAGCGATGCACAAAAAGGAAACGTGTTCCATGTAAAATTTTATAAAAGCAACGCAAACAATTAATCAAAAACCATTCCAGTAGCAGAAATTGCAGAATCACCAGAGGTAGGTTAATTGTATATAGAACACAAAATTCATGCACTCCAATATAAACCTTACACAGCCCATTTGACAGAACCCGTAGCCAACAAAACCAAGCACATGACCAACAACACCAACCGAACCCAATACCACAAAGACGCTAACTTTTTGGGGAAAGAGGGCTCCACCGGCCCCTCAAACCCCTCTGCCGGTCTGCAATCGCCATGATCACCCCTTAACTTCACATAGTCCGCTTTGTCATCTTCACCCCAAATTGTCACATTCAGCTCCGGCACCGCCTATCCCCAATCCTCACATTCGTCACAGGTCAATGAAAAACCTAGGACTTTGGCCGCACAAATACCAATTGGCCCCCTTTTTGGTTAGAAACTATGAGAAATTTGGGGAATTTGGAGCCCTAGGAGAGAGTGTGGCGAATGCAAGGGGTTTGGTGATCAATCAGAGAGTCACATGGCCATGAAGACTGGTAGATGCGCAGAGGCAATCAATGGAATCAATGGGCTCATTTCCTCGTGTAAAAGCCCCTCTCTACGTTATGAGCTTTTCTGATGGTGGGTTGGGACGAAAGGACAATAAAGCCCCCGCCAAACTGACGGAAATGAAGGCTTGAACTTGATTTATTAACGACTGCGGACGAAATCGGGAAATTTGAAATCATGATGACTAAAATTGATTTCAGGCCAAACCCAAGTGACCAAAATTGTAATCAACCCAAATTAAAATATTGGACCCTTGTTGTATAAGCAGAATAATTTTTTTTTTTCTCTGTGGTTTTTTTAATTAAATTTCTTTATCTTTTACCAGTGACTAATTTTTTGGTTTCAGTATGCAGTTTAAAGAATGAAAGAACTTGCAGCTTGATATGCTTACAAGTTACAAAGAATGTTCCTAAAAACTGTCTGAATTATAGTACCAGAGCATACTATGTTGACTTCTGATGAACATGAAACCTGCACTGGCCATGTCGGGAGATGAACACAGCAGAAGCTGCACGATAAGTGATGACCCATCCATGACGATGTTGAGAGATAATATTTATTCATTTTTGAACAAGCTCGACGAAACCTGAAAAAAGGAGGGTGCTGTCAGAACACACAGGATATAGTGGGCAGATATATCACGAGGTTTTAATCTAATAGCTTAGCACAGTGGTGGCTTTAGAAACAATGATGGAATCATATCACATTTCATTGTCAAGTACATAACAAAACCTTGAAATTCACTACTGCATCGACCGGACTGGTAAAGAAAGCAAAATCGAAAAACTCAACCCACGTTCTTCGTCTTCTTCTGCTTCTTCTCCAGAAAAAAAATGTACGGTCAAACTTCGAATTGGTGCATGATCTTCAAAAGGTGGACAAACAAGTACCCAAACTCAAATAAAACCTACACCCCTTCTTCATCCTGACCGTCAATGTACAAAGAAACACATAAATACCAACAACCCACAATCAGTAATGAAACCCATACAGCTTACACAAATCAAACACTCAAACCCACCTAAGTCACTCCAACTAAACCCACCAAAATCAAACACTCGTTTCCAGAACCAGAAATCGAATGCAAATCCTTTGAAGAAATCAAACCCAAATCACCCTTCCTACAAATTTCGCCTACTTCATTGCAGGGATCAGAACCCTACGCCTTCATACAAACTTGTTTGTCCATCTTCCGAAGATCACGTACCAGTTTAAAATGTAGTGACCATCCCACTTTAATCTCAGACCATCCCACTTTATATAACTGGAAGTATTGCCAGATATCTTAAGTTTAGGTGTCTTATGTGAGAACAAACTTAGGATAAGGAAACTGAAAAGTTCTATCACAGTATTTGTGCCTACATCACAAGGAAGTTGAGATTCTCAAGAGCTGCAAAAGCAGGAGCTTCAAAAAGCATAGCCAGAGCAGCACATTATTTCCTACAATTGGAAATCGAAAAAGGGAAAAAAAACAGAATAGACATTGCAAACATGGGCAATGTGAAACAGGATGGCGGGTAATAAAATTTGAAAGAGGCATGCCTTTGAAAGTTCAGCAAGCATGTGTCATGCAAAGAGATTGCTATCTCTGGCACTTTATCAATATATGCAAAGGTTCAAAAAGAAACGAAGACAGATTCCCTATAATTCCCATCAGTCTTGAAACCACAATATTCAAAATTTCCTATTGCTGTGGGTCCTACCACGAACAAATGTCAAAAATCTCATGCGCCAAGGGGCATCATAATGATATACAAGTTCTATGATTAGCACAGATTGAATTGGCTTCGGTTGTTTTAAATGAATACAACTACAAGGAAAAAAAATACAAATGTTTGTACAGTGACTTTAAATTTTATCAATCCAGCATACTATGGAATCAGTGGTTCCCTGGCCGATTTTTCTTTCTTTCCTTTCCTTTGATATTAAATCAATATTAGAAAAAATAAATAAAAACATTTGTTACATGACTAAAGTACAAGAGCAATGACATAGGAAATTTTCAAGAATCAGATCTACTCAATTCTTACTACAGGCATCTCACACCAAGGAGCATGATTTTATAACAAATGCTGTAGTTTATTATCCACATATTATTTAAATAAGCAGAGTGAGACATACCTTCACATGATGTGGCATAATCTTAATATCAAAGGGTACATGAAGCCATGCTTCAGGTGGATAGAGCAAAAAATTCTCTGGCTTACTGGTATAGACATCTGCATATTGATGAATATGATACGCGAAAGCAGATTCTTGACCTCTATCAGTAAGGAAGGTGGCTCCAAAAGACTTATTAAACATTCTCTTCATCTTATGACTTGACTTGTGCCTCCGGTCATTTAACTCCTCCAACAGTGATGTGTAGGCTTCACTTTTCTGGCTATTAGCTACAGTAGCATGCAATCTACCAAGCAATTCTTGAACTATATGAAATTTCGCCTGCGTCCAGAAAGAAGTTTCATAATCATGAAAAAGACATCACAAATTTGAATAGGTAGGAATTCAGTTATGCACATAGAGAATTTTAACCATTGTGCTATGTAGGTTGAACCCATCATCCTGAATCCACATTGTAATCCATGGTTAAAATCCACTACCCTCACAGGAGAATTCTCCTTTGAATTGATGTGTGAGAGAGACAGAGAGACAGAGACAGAGACAGAGAGACTTCCAAGAAAGTTCTTATGTAAAAATTAACATAATTAAGAACTCTAGGCAAAAGTACTCTAAAGATGATAAGATAATGTATACAATCATTAAGTAGTTTATGCATGCCAACATCAAGAAGAAATGAATTATAACAAAACCAACCAACAGAAAAAAAAATTAATATGATAACTTTGCATAATAATACCTGTTCCAAGCGGTAAGCATCCTCATTTTGTATAAGTATTTCATCCTGCAAAACACAAAGGACCTTTGAACTAACCAAAAAGAAATACTCTGGAAGTATAATGCAACACTCATAAGTGTAAAAAAGACATACTTCTAGTTCGTGGATTATAGCAGCAGTGCGCCAACCAGCTTTTGCAGGTCCCCTAAGGTCGCTAAATAGGTGATCTCCAAAGTATATCACCTACCAAAGGGGCATAGGTGATCAATAACATGCAAAAGTGTATGAGCTATATGAAATAAATTTGAAAACAAATCATATAAAATTAAAGCACCTCTGGTCCCTTCCATTTAGTAATTTGAAGGAAGGATTTAAGGCATCCATGGTAATATATTTTATTAGGAAGAAATGCATCCACCTTCGTGAAAGCTAAAGTGTCCTTCTCTGCGTCATAGCAACTGCATGGAAGTTCCAGAAATCAAGGTGCAGGCCAAGATACCATACAAGATATTAGCTTATCTTATTTCTAGGGTGTTTAAGAGAATGAAACTTAGTTAAGAAAAAAAAAAAGACACCAATGAAAACAGTTTGAAGACAAGGAAACAAGACAGAGCATCATGTCCAATCTCTTATCACACATGCGAAAAATTAAGGAAAAGAAGAATAATTTTGCAAGTTGAAGATACAAACCGGAAGGGATGCTCAGATGTGTAGAAATCTGGCTTATTAGCTTTAGCAATCACAACATCAAAAAGTTCCCTCCAGGAGTCTCTGAAATCCGTGGAATCCTAAGAAAATGTCACAATCAACCCAGGAAACTTAAAACCCAATCCATAAACTTAAGTCTAGATGACAACAATAGCAAGTTAGCCAAAACATTCAAGGACAGAAAACATCTCTTAAGTTAGCATCCACTTTTTCACACATAACGAAACCGTTCCAATTGGTCTGAAAGGGGCTTCAGTTGTGAGACCGAAGCTGTTAAAAGTGGTGATGGTAGAATTCCCAGTTAGTTGGCTTACCTCCAACATAAACCTCATTCCTCCATCCACAAAGTAATATGGAGAGTTAGTCAACAGGAATAGTTTCTTTCCCTTCTCCCTGAGCATCTTGAGAAAGTGCAATAGCTGACCCTAATAAATATTAACCCACATAAGGATGAGCCATCACCTCAAGAATAATAATGAGATCAAACTAGACAATTGGACTAGATGTACAGCCAGAAATATCAGTATAAGTTATAGAATATCCTCAAAAAATGTGGCAGGGCTTACATTTTTTAAAAGATATTTATGGGGGTCAGAAAGAATTCCTCTATGAGCCACACCACTACGGTGAACATGCTGAATTGCACGATTTACATCTTGATAGATGTAGCAAGCATCAAATTCCAACTTAGCATCAACAAAATATTGCACGATATCTGCAATGAGGCATGCCTACATAGTAACAATTGAAACAAAACATTGATGGGTTAGAAGGAAACAAACATATTCCTACAACTTCTGACAAAAGAATTGTTCAGAACTAAATTATGTGTAAAACGGAAGCTGAAAGTATAGACAGCTAGTTTCTTCACTGGCCTGTTACCTTAAAACTTTGACACAAACTTCTTAGGAAGCTAATGTGTTGAAGGTAATTCCAAAGTTGTGCATTTCTTTCTCGTGGGAAACAGTATTTAGCATTTTTGGAGGCGGGAAAAGAGCAAAACTGTTATAGAACTGTTGTTTGATGGCCGCTGCCTGGGTGGAAAGAAACAAAAGGATTTTCGAAAATTATGGGGAGTGAGGAAGTAGGGTTTGTAGGCCAGAGTACAATTTTAGGACATCATTGTGGGGTTCAATTTCATCGGTATTTACCGTTAAGCCATTCTCTCTATCATGCAAATAGAATGTGGTGGTATCTAAATTTTCATTCGCAATTGACTCAGCTTCTATGTAATGTATTTCAGTTTTATGGGCAGGTTTTGTTGTTCTAGATGCGGTTTGGTTTAGGATTGAATATGTGCCACAGGGGATAGCTTGCCCTCTAAGTTTCTACTTCTAATATCCGTCTTTCTCACCAAAAAGGGAAAAAAACAGTAAGTGCCTAGTCCCAACTCCTTTCACAAGCCCATAACAATGTCCGTATCCCATAACGACCAAAGAAACACTAATATTTATACAGTTCACCCACATAACTTGCCCAATTTACAAAATTTATTTTATATTTTTCAAAACATGCCCATGCTAGCATGTCTCTTATATAAATGTTCCAATGCACGAATGTTGAGATCAGCCCATACATGCATCAATTTCTTCTTCTATCACAAGTTTGGGGAAATGTGACAGTTAAATAACTAACCTCACTAAAGCAGAAGAAATCCATCAATCCAACAAGTCCCCGGGCTTGATCACGACCAATATGCCGTGTGCCATATATCTCTTCTATTTCCTTCCTGCTAAGCTGCATTTCATTCAAAAGAGAGAATAACAAATCTATATGTACGAAAGAAAAGTTTGCCAAAATCTATTGAAGTCTTTTTAGTTCACAGAGCACTGCAAGAAATTTTTTGTCAAATTGGGCAAAGCCTACACTATTACTTGTATTTTATAAATAAAAATAACCAAAGTCCCATCATTCATGACTCATATAACATGTCGACTAAGTAGTTTCCATGTTTCGGAAGAAGAAAGGTATCATTATCTTTTAATTACAGAAAATTAACTGCTACAGAGGAGGTAGGAGGCTTTGCATCATATCTTGGGGAGGGGGAGCTCAAAGAAAAATTCATAAGCAAAATATAGTCAATAAATTTGAAATTAGAATATACATGAGGGAATATTTGAAGTTAGGGAATCTCAAAAGGAGAAAAGACCAGTTTGGATGAAAAATGGTCTCATGAAAGTTAGAGTCTGGACAAGCTTTCCATTTACAGTCTCTACTGAATTTCCTTCATGACTGCTTAAAAGTTTTACTCAAACAGTCTATATTGACTATACAATCCATGACCTTTTTACCTGCAATTCATCCCTTTAAATATTTAGTCCTCCTCTGAGTACCCAAACAAGAGGATTTGGGCTTTTTTCTTTCCAATTACCTAAATTTTTCTAGGAATTATGAATCTCCTGGCCTTGTCTATTCATGGCATCCATGCTTTCCTGCTGAGCTAATATGAAACTCTAGATCCCTTGAAGCACTATGAGAATCGGCTTAGACTCAGACCTAAAACGGTTAAAGAATGTGATCTCTCACAGAAGGTCAAAGGTCAAAGCTCATCTCCCATATTACTTCATTATCCCAGCAATATGCCCCATAGGATTCTGCATGACAACTGTAGTCACTTTCTGAATCAATTGCTTATTACTAAAATCTAACACAAAATACATGAATATACAAGTATCTTTTAAATACAAAAAATAATAATCATACCATCTAACTTTCTTGTGACCCAGTTCAAAACGCCAATCTTTCTAAATTGTCTCTCTCATAGCCCAAAGCTTCAAAAGCCATGATTTTTCTCCGTTTTATATAATGTGGATGCTTAGACATTGCATGATTTTCAGATTTACCGTGAAAGACTATTGTTATTTCTTACCTTCCTCAAAATTCTCACATCTCAGCTCTTTTTCTTTTTATCTGGAACCAACAGACCTACATTTTAAGCTTTCTATAACCTAGGGCCTAGGCACAAGTATAAAGAAAATACCTCCATAAAACCTTTCAGTTCCAGAAAGCATTTGGCCATAATCAAAACATATAAGCCAAAAATGATTAGGTGTAAAGTACCTTACGACGACCATAGTAGCATCCGTCTGACTCAATTGACCCAAAAAAATCCAGCTTCAAGAGGCACCCTTTTAGCTTATCATAGTACAATCCTCTGATTGGAAAAGTCGGATCGTACTTAAATTCCATGCAAATTTCAGGATAATGAAACTGAAACAACCACAAACGAATATATCAAATTACAAAAGGCTTACATGTAAAGGATAGCCCCATGAAATTATATCAGCATCGCTTAAATGGGTGTAAACTAACCTCATTTACCATATGCTCCTTTGCAAGATCATATATCAAGCTCTGTAAATTGGATGAGTAATGAGCCAGTGTGTAGTCATAGTCGAATCCATAAACTTGAATACTGTCCAATCTCAGGTTCTTATTTACATATATCCCTAATTTCAATATAAGAAACTAATCAATATCACAATTATCATGACTAATGAAGCTTAACTGAGAACCAAGAATACACTGGCAAACCTTCCGGATTCATTTTAGGCATTGCTTTAAGTGCCTCTGGAACCCTGAGGAAACTCTGCTTCGCGGCATCAAATTCACGTCGAATTTGTGCTATCTCATCATCAAGAACTAAAGTATCAGCTCCAGCTCGAGTCTCTGCATCTTCCAATTTCAACAGAGTTTGCTCCGGCGAAGCAATTCCTCCGTAGCTTCGAAAACCTAAATTTAAGTAAATAGAACAACTGTAATCGTCCATAATGATCAATACACACACTTACAACATATTAGATGCACTCCAATACAATTCTCATTCTGTACAGACTAATTATGTATTTACCATTTCCAAATATTAAAAAATATATATATTTTCAATACACATTGTTGCACATATTTGTAGCCCTACATTCAACACAGAGACAGACAGACAGAGAGACAGAGACAGACAGACAGACAGACAGACAGACAGAGAGAAGCAGAGAACCTTGAACAACTCCAGAACCAGAAGATGAAAAGGTCGTCCTCTGCAACAAATCAGAAACAAACAAGATTAGAGAGGAAGAGCACACATACACATGCATATATCTGCGTGAGAGAGAGAGAGAGAGAGAGAGAGAGAGAGAGAGTTACGTTGATGGAAGAGCAGAGAGGAAGCAGCCTACGAAAGCAGGCCATGGGAAGGGAGGGATTTTAGCTCTGCATTCGAAGTTAGGGATTTTATTTTTTCTTTCTCTGTTGTAGAAAATGGAATTGAAATGAAAGCCCAAGTAGGAAGGAGATTGCAATGAAATGATGATTTCTTTCTTGCTATGCGAAAATCAGGGACTGCCAGTACCTGGTAGCCGCCGTTTTAACATTAGACCTTCAGCAAATCCAGCTCAAATTATTATTATTATTTTTCATATATCCAGCTCAAATTGTTTTTTTTTTTTTTTGTTTAAAACAAAGAGGGTTTTATTAGAGACGAATAGCAAGGTTTACATCGCTAGCTAAAATATCAAAAATCCATTCATGCCACACTTGGTCCCAAACGTGATTACCACCTACTCTAGACACAAAGGCCGCAACCTCATGCGCTGCCTTATTGCACTTACGGGGAGTAGCTAAAAAAACAACCTGTTGGAGCTTGCCAACAAGCATCTTAATATCAAACACAATATAGCTTCCACCGCAACATCAACTTGACGCTCACCTCTAATCATCTGAATCATCTGCAACAGTCAGATTCAATCTCCATATGCACCAAACGACCCTTAATGCAAGCAATCAGTGCTTCTCTTATAGCCTCCGCCTCCATCGTCAATGCCATACTGCCCTGTTAATCCCCCCACCCCCCCTTGCACGCACCAGCCAGCCATAAGTGTCTCTAATAACCCAACCAGCCCCACCTCTTTGCGTCTGCTGCAACCAAGCTCCATCACAATTAGCCTTGACCCAACCATGTGCCGGCTTAACCCACGAAGCTGACCCACTTTGAGCACGATCTAGCAGACGGGGCAGCTCGTTAATCAGAGGGTTGGCCGACATCAGAGCTGCCCTATACTCCTGCACCTGAGCTTGGAGACTTCTCACCATAGTGGTTGGATCAGTAACAGTCCCTTCAAACACCGCACTGTTTCTTGTTTTCCATAAACGCCACAACCCAAAAACCACCACCTGTAATATTTCTTGAAAATTCACATTCTTCTCATACTTCTTTAATATGCTTTCCCAGCATTCACTAAACTCCTCCCCCACCAATTGTAAGACATCCAGCTGTAGGGAGCTTCCAAATTAGAAAACTCTAGCATGCTCACACTGAAAGAAAAGATGAACCTGAGATTCCCCTTCAAAGCCTTAGAGGGCACATGTATTATCCACATCAACCGAGCGACGCCGTAAATTCTCTTTAACAGCCAAGGCGTTTCTACAGCCCCTCCAAACAAATGCACGTAATTTGGGCGGCACCTGCAGTCTCCATATACTCTTCCAGAATTTCTTCTGCTCACCTCCATGACTGCAGTCTCCTTCAGCTTTCCCCCCCCAACTCACCATTTTTCCGTAAGTTTAGAGCAAGTTCATAGCCAGTACGAACTGTGTAACCACCATGCGCAGTGAAGTGCCACACTAGTTTGTCATCACAGCCCCACCTACTAAGAGGTAAGGATAAAATAGTCTGGGCTTCCACACAACTGAAACAACGCAATATAAGATCCTGATTCCACATCTTCATCTGATTGTCAATAAGCCCTTGCACTAAAATAGGCATATCTGGGTGTCTAGAGTAAATCTTGAAAGTAGAAGGTTTGGGCACCCAGTTATCTAGACAAATATGAACTTGATGTCCATTGCCTAAACGCCATCTCATACCTGCCTCCAATATTTTCCGTCCTTGCACAATACCCTTCCAACCCCACGACGACCCACAACCAACAACAGCTCTCATAAAATCTGAAGACCTGAAATACTTGTCCCGGAAGGTAGTAGCCAACAGAGAGTCCGGATGTTTGATAATCCGCCAGCCAATTTTTGCAAGCATAGCCAGGTTGAAGCATCTAAGATCTCTAAACCCCATACCTCCTGCTTCTTTCATCATACAGAGACGTTGCCATCCAACCCAATGGATACCCTCATGCTCCTTGTGCCCCTTCCACCAATAATGAATGATCTCCCTTTCAATCTCCTTGCATAAATTAATTGGTAGCTTAAAACAGGACATAGCAAAATTTGGCATAGCCATAGCTACTGCTTTGATCAAAACTTCATTCCCAGCTTGAGATAAATATTGTTCAGACCATCCCATAAGCCTGGCATTAATTTTGTTGCATACATCCTCAAAGACCCGCTGTTTTGAAGCCCCAAAGTCAGCATTGAGTCCTAAATATCGTTCGAACCCATCATTTTGTTGTACCTGTAAGATGTCTCCCATCTGCTTACGAACATGCGCATGACATTTTTTCCCAAACAAGAGCGAACTTTTATCAAAATTAATACATTGACCTGAACCTTTCTCATAACAGACTAAAATATTTTTCAAGCATCTAGTCTCCTGTTCATCAGCTTTGCAAAAAATAACGGAGTCATTAGCAAAGAACAAATGTGATATGCTAACCCCCTGAGGGTGAAAACAGAAGCCTTGCAAGGCACCCATCTCTTCATGCTTTGTAATCATAGCAGACAGGCCCTCATCACATAACAGAAATAAAAAAAGGAGATAGAGGATATTTTGTTGCATACATCCTCAAAGACCCGCTGTTTTGAAGCCCCAAAGTCAGCATTGAGTCCTAAATATCGTTCGAACCCATCATTTTGTTGTACCTGTAAGATGTCTCCCATCTGCTTACGAACACGCGCAGGACATTTTTTCCCAAACAAGAGCGAACTTTTATCAACATTAATACATTGACCTAAACCTTTCTCATAACAGACTAAAATATTTTTCAAGCATCTAGCCTCCTGTTCATCAGCTTTGCAAAAAATAACGGAGTCATTAGCAAAGAACAAATGTGATATGCTAACCCCCTGAGGGTGAAAACGGAAGCCTTGCAAGGCACCCATCTCTTCATGCTTCGTAATCATAGCAGACAGGCCCTCATCACATAACAGAAATAAAAAAAGGAGATAGAGGAGCGCCCTGACGTAGACCCCGGGAAGGTGTAATATGTCCTGTAGCCTCCCCATTAACAATCACACTATATGTAACAGTAGAAATGCATTCCAATACCCACCCTCGAAAGATCGGATCAAATCCCAACCTTCTCATCATAAGCTCCACAAATGGCCATTCAACCCGGTCATAGGCTTTTGCCATATCTAATTTCAAAGCCAGACTGGATCGCCCCATTCCAACCTCCTTCTTAAGCGAGTGAAGTATCTCATGTACAATCAAAATATTGTCCATAATTAATCGATCTTCAATGAAGGCAGCTTGATTGAGACTAATGATCTCAGGAAACACAGCTTTGAGCCTGACTATTAAAATCTTGGAAATAATTTTATACACCAAATTGCATAAAGCAATTGGTCTCCATTGAGTCATCTTCCTTGGTGTAGCAATCTTTGGGATCAAAACCAAATGTGTGTGGTTAAAAGCTCTATGAAGCCTCCCTGAGTGAAAAAAACTCTTGACCATACCAGTAATGTCCTCCCCAACCACGTCCTAATACTGTTGAAAGAATTTCCCCGTGAAACCATCTGGACCCGGCGACTTCGTAGGATTCAAGGATTTCACAACTAGCCAAATCTCCTCACATGAAATTTGTCGTATCAAGCAAGAATTATGCTGCATGGTCACTCGTGGCTGAACACAATCAGTAATAGACTCAATAAGCGTAGGTGTACAAGTGGTAAAAATTTCCTGAAAATAAGATATAATCAGTGATTTAATTTCGCCTTCATCCGTGCACCACCATCCTGCAGAGTCTTCTAAGTCCACCATCCTATTTTTATAAGTGTGGAAGTCCCACACTTTGTAAATGGAAGTTGGGCCAAGTGGAAGCCAATTGGGCTTCAAAATTGATTTGGGCAATTTTTTTTTTGGACAACGAAGCTTTCATTGAAAACAGAGGAGGAATACAAACAGACAAAAAGCTAAAACTCAGGGAAAGTTGCTAAACTCGCAGAGTCTAGAAACCAAAACTCTCCCCACAGAGACAAAACCAACAAAAATACAATTAAGGGGGACTTGGAAGTCCATCAGAAGCCAGAACACGCACTAGGGACGGAGGTGGCTGGTTAGCCCATCCTTGCGGACACACCGCCCTTAAACCTATCGCTGCGGTCACATGAGCCGCTCGATTTGCTCCACGAGGGATCCAACACCATTCCACATCAGAGAAACCTGCACTCAGGCGCATGATCTCATCCAGCAGAGGGAGAATGGTCCATGCCCTCGTGCAACCTTTACCCTTGATATTATCAATGAGGACTTTAGAATCTGATTCCATAACTAACCTTGAGTAGCCTCTCAGACTTGCGCATCTCAGAGCCTCAATGGCTGCTTCGGTTTCTGCTATCAAAGGACTATTACAGTAGCGTTTACTTGCAAAACCATAGCAAAAATCCTTATTCTGATTTCTCATCACCACACCCAAGCCTGCCTCGTGGTTTTTCCAAGCAGCATCGAAGTTTATCTTTATTGCACCACTAATAGAGGGTTTCCATAAACCAGCTGACGGGGTCAGAACAGTAGCCCCATATCTGGTGGAGTCAGCTTGACACCTAACTGCCTCGAACTCTTCTGCTGCTGAAACAGCATATTCCACCACACTTATGGGATCGATTTTAAAGTCCTCAAAAAGAAATTTGCATCTTGTTTTCCATATCTCCCACGAGATAAAACTCACCAAAGACAGAACCCAAACTCTTTGGAAATTGGTTAACATATGACTATTTAACAGCCCATTGTACCAGCAATCAATCGTGGTGAGGCTTTGTGGGTTCACTCGGTAATTTAAAGGGGAGCCAAACCAGACAGCTTGGGACCACGGGCACAGAAAGATAGCGTGCTCCTCAGATTCTTCATACTGATTGCATATGGGGCAAATTGGAGTCGCAATAATCCTTCTGCGATACAGATTAAGTCTGGTAGGCAAGGCCCTATTCATCATGCGCCAGAGAAAAAACTTGATCTTTGGGAGAGTAGGAGTCGCCCAAATTCCTTTCCACACACCTCTTTCAATTACATGGGACGAACGGTTATTTACCCCACTGGAGGAAACAGAGACCACCTGCAGATTATAACCAGACTTTACAGAATACAAACCCGATTTGTTCCAGGGCCACACAACTCTATCATCCCTGTGCAAGTTACCTATAGGGACCTCACTGATAACCTTAACAGTGTCCTGGCTCACATACTGAGCAAGAGCCTGCGTGTTCCATGTTCTGGTATGTCCATCTAAGATCTCACTAACCATTTGGGGGGCATTCAACGGCACAGGGGTCATAGGCACCACAAAACCATGGTGAGGAGGAAGAAGCCAACGGTGCTGCCAAATCTTCGTATTTAGACCATTGAAAACTTGATGCCTTACATTTTCCTTAATTACCTCTCTTCCTTCCAACAAACTAGCCCAACCCCAAGAGGGGCGATGACCTGCCATGGCGTTCAAAAAGTCACAGTTTGGAAAGTACCTGGCCTTAATCAATTTTGCCCAGTAGGAGTTAGGATCATGGATCAGTCTCCATGCTTGTTTACCAAGGAGGGCTAAATTAAAGGTATTGAGGTCTCTAAAACCCAGCCCACCCTCAGTTTTAGGTAGGCATAAAGTAGACCATGACTTCCAATGTATCTTTACATCGGAGTCTTGCTTTCCCCACCAGAAATTGGCCAGCTCACTGTTGATCTCATCACATAGACCTTTTGTAAATTTGAAGCAATGCATTGGGTACGTTGGAACAGCAGTGGCTACAGCTTTAATAAGAACTTCCTTCCCAGCTAAAGATAGCGAGCTCTGCTTCCAGCCTGAAATCTTATCCTTTACCCGCTCCTTGACATAATTCATAGCTGCCTTCTATGATCTCCCCCACATAGTAGGCATCCCCAGATAATTCCCGGGATTATCCACTCCTTCCACTCCAATAATAGAGCCAATTAAGGTCTTCACCTCAGTAGGAGTATTACTACTGAAGTAGAGACAAGATTTTTGATGATTTACTAACTGTCCTGTGGCAGCACAGTAGCGGTTCAGCAGATGCATAAATCTACGGCAATTAGTCTTGTCAGCTCTGAGGAAGAAGAGGGAGTCATCTGCAAAAAGAATGTGAGAAAGAATAGGGCTTCCTTGAGCCAATTTTATGCCTTTAATCCATCCGCCCGAGATACATTTGGTTAGGTTTCGCGAGAACATATCGCTTACCAGCAAAAAAAGGTAAGGGGACAAAGGGTCTCCTTGTCTAAGCCCACGGGAAGGTCTGAAGGTTGGGCCAGGTTTACCATTTATGAGAACAGAAAAGGAGACAGAGGAGACACAATTCATGATTAACCTTACCCAATGATCACAGAACCCCAATTTGCTAAGCAGCGCCTCTAAAAAGTCCCACTCCACGCGGTCATAAGCTTTATTCATGTCAACTTTCAAACCTAACTCGTGTCTGCCCCCCTTCGTCTTGAGCTTTAAATGACGATAAGCTTCATGTGCAATGGAGATATTGTCTTGAATCATTCGGTCTTCAACAAAAGCGTTCTGGTTTGGACTGATCAAAATGGGGAGAAGACATCTTAGTCTATTGGCTAGCAATTTAGACAAAATCTTATAGGCGTAGTTGCAGAGGCTAATCGGACGATACTGCTCTGGCGAAACAGGATCAAGGACTTTGGGGATCAGGGCAATGTGAGTTCTATTAAGAACCGCAATTTGATCATTCCCATTTAGAAAGCCAGAAGCCGCACCACTCACAATATCTTTAACAATCGGCCAAAATTTCTTGTAGAAAACTCCAGGAAAGCCATCAGGGCCCGGGGCCTTCAAAAGACCCAATTGAACTACAGCTTGGTGGACCTCATCTTCTGTCACTGGGGCTAGGAGGAGCTCATTCATTTCCTCTGTAACCACGCCATCTACATTACCTAGCACGTCACTCCAGGTTCTGGGACCTCCAGTGGAGAACAAGTTCATATAATAGTGTCTAAATTCTTGCTGAATGTGATCCTCTCTCACCTTCCATACACCTTGAGCATTTTTGACACCATGAATTTTGTTTCTCTGTCTCCTCTGTATGGTTGACAAGTGAAAGAATCGAGTGTTTTTATCACCCGCTTGTAACCAGTTGACTCTCGATCTCTGCTTCCAGTACATCTCCTCGTTTTTCCATAACTCCTCAAGAGCACCCTTGATCTCCATCTGTCTGGGACGAGAAGACTGGGAGGAAGGAGCACATTGCAAATTGGATAGCTCCTCAGATAGAGTCAAAATTTGGTGCCTGCCA